AACGTCGACGGGGCGACGCCGATTTTTCCCCGGTTGGTCATTGTATATCGTATTCTCTCTTTTATCTTCCACTCGCCGCGTTTGTCTCGTTTGTTTTCTGTTTCTTTTACTAAATCATCGGGGCCGATCGGGGCTAGCCCCGAAATTATGACGACACAATGCCGACGTTTCTTACAACAACGTGTTGACATATTCACGCATTCCTTCTCGTTCGTTGGTTGCTTGAAGAGTTGATAGTTTCCTCGCCTTCGTTTTTGTCGCTTGTTTCGCTATTTGAATCAGTTAGAGACCTTTAGTCCATTTGCTTTCGATTTTCCACATTCCTTTTGAGCTCCTCACTTCTTTCCGGCTTCGTATTTCTTAGCCTTAGACCTCATAATGAATAAGGTTGATGCACTACTTCGCACTCCGTTTTCGCAGCTGCCGCTGGAACAAAAATTAGAGGTACAACGTTCTGGGCCTTATCAACCAAAAAGTTGTTCACTGGAACAATCCCATGACGGAGCAAAGCGTCGGCGTACATTCTGCGCAGAAAACTTGGTATAAAAAACACGAATGGTTGTGTTACAGCGAGGACAAAAATGCATTTTTTTGTTTTTATTGCCTACTTTTGCTACCGCCCGTGACTCACGTTGGTGTAAATTTGGTTTTAGAGATCTTAAACATCTTTTCGAGCGTGCCAGGGATCATCAATCTTCTATGGAGCATCTGGACAATGCAGTAAAATACCGAACATTCGGAAATGTTAATATTGCAGCACAGTTGGATGAAGGACGCGCGGTTTCTATTCGTCGGCACAACCAAAACGTCGAGAAAAACCGCCATGTTCTCGGTCGATTGATAGATGTTTTGAAGTTCATTGGTTGTCACGAGCTGTCCCTCCGTGGGCACGATGAACGGGCTGGCTCTTCTAATGAAGGGGTATTTTTGGATATGGTGGAATACACCGCATCCCTAGATACAGTATTGAGAGATCATCTTGATGCCGCAACTGTTTCGAAAGGGACATCTAAGGATATTCAAAATGATTTGCTCGACTCAATGTATAAAATTTATTTATAACATTTGGCTCTGGAAATTGAGAATTGCCAGTTCCTTTCGATTCAGTCTGACGAGACAACTGACATCACGTGCGTTTCCCAACTGGCTGTGATTTTTCGGTTTGTGAAAGATGGTAAACCTACCGAGAGATTTCACAGCTTTGTACCAATCGTTGATCGCACGGCTTGCGGGATATCGGCTGTACTGAAAGAAGTGTTACAGCCTTACAACGCGAAGTCAAAATTGATAGCTCAAACTTATGACGGCGCGGCAGTCATGAGTGGGTCGAAACATGGTGTTCAAGTTTATATAAAAGAAGATTTTCCTCATGCGCATTTTTTACATTGTTATGCACACCAATTTAACCTCTTTATTAAAAATATGTGTCTTGATACCCCTCTCGTCCGTATATTTTTTGCAAATGTTTCGGGGTTTTCTTCATTTTTTTCCGTTTCGCCGAAGCACTCTGACCTCCTTCGCCAGATATGTAGCCACCGTCTCCCAGCTTGTGCACCAACACGTTGGAACTTCCAATCACGCGTGGTGCAGGGCGTGTCCAAAATTAGGTCTTAGCTCATTGAGTGTTTCAATGGCATTCAGAGCTCTCCGGTTTGGGACGAACGCTCTGTGAGGGAGGCTGCAGGTCTAAAGCGTCTGCTAGAAGATGGTGAGTTTTCATTTTTTCTCGCTTTTTTTCTCCACAATATTCTATCACGTGGATGTATTATACGGCCAATTGCAGTCAAGGCTAATGGATGGAGAGTCGGTGCAGTCGTGTATTTCAGACTTCTGCGATGCTGTATCTCGTATCCGGGAAACAATAAAATACGACGACACATGGAGTGCTTCTTTACGCCGCGGGCAAACAACGCAGCGTTTGATTTTGTCTGCAAAGGAATGCTGTGACATTCTGGTGAATCAAATAGGCGATCGTCTGCGCACTGAACACCTTGCCGCGTTCTCTTTGATAAACCCCAAAATTTTTTCAAAATTTGCACGTCAATTTCCCATCCATTTGTTGGCTACTGTCTCCAAATTTTACCCCATGATAAACGTGGGTAAATTGGAAACTGAATTGCGATGTATATACAACAATCAAACTTTTTTGAATATCACATCAACTTGCGCGCTCTATGGGTTCCTCATAGATAACACTCTAGTAACTACCTTTGCGGCGTCTGCAAAATTTCTGGACATCATTTTGACGACGCCTATTTCTTCCGCCGACGCAGAGCGAACATCCAGAACGCTGAAGCGTATTAAAACGTATCTCAGAAACACAATGATGCAAGATAGATTAAATTCCTTGGCTGTTTTATCCATTCACAGAGACGTTATTTCTGGAATGCATGACTTTAATCAGCGCGTTATTGAGCATTTTGCTTCCAGGAAACCGCGGCGTGTTGCATATATGTTCAAGCAGTAGAAGTCTAGCAGCATATATATCTATGAGTGAGCGACGCATGTCCATATCTTTGCATTACCTTTCCTTTCTTCATAGTAACGTTTTAAACCTTATTTTAGGTTTTGTCTGCTTTCCCGAAGTTTATGTTAATATGTCATTGTATTTATCCGGGTAAATATTGCCTTTCCTTTTGAAAGAGGTTTCAAAATAAACTATGTCTATATTTATTAATCCCTTGACTTGGACCGGTTTTAAAGACACTTTCTTATCGTTAAAAATTGTCGCTTTTGCCGATTGGTTGTTACCGATGGAATGGTTTTTATACTCATAAAATGATGGGAGAACTTACAGCGCTCATCCTGTCCCCGTAGATGGGGGTGACTTGGTCCCGCAGTAGCTTGCCCCGGTTGTCAAAATGACCACGCGCCGCCACTGGTACCAGGTTAGTGTTAGGTCATAATTTAGGTACAAATACTACGGGAGTCACTTGCCTAGACCCCGAACTTGTAATAGAACTAAAATAAGGAAAATTGGAATAAAATTATGACCTAACCCTAACCTGGTACACATACTACGTTCCGGTGTCCGCCATCTTGGTTCGCATACTACAGGAATACCGTTATTGTTACGTAACGATACACGGCGCGTTTTTTTTTTATAGCGATCCAAGTTCCAACCTGAGCAACTTAGTTTACTCTCATCTTCTTTTCAAGTTTTAAATTAAAATGCGCGTTTGGGGTCGATATACTACTATCTTCCAACTGTCTATTGTAAATTGGAATCAATTCAAAAATGAAATTGGTATAAATCGGTTGGGAACTATTGGTATAAACACTTGGATGCATCGTCAAACGGGTATTACAGCAAAAATTCAAAGTGACTGTAATAAGTTCTTTATAATGACTTTTGATAGGGTTCGAAGAGATAATGTTGCGGATTTATTCAAAAGTGAAAAACCACTACGTGTTGAAGACTCACTAAAGCCTGAGATTTGTACATTGATGTTGTTTATCTTCTACTGGTCAACTCCCTAGTTGCTTCGATCGTGTATTCGTAAATAATAATACCCGAAATAGCAGATGTCACGGCAAAATTTTTGTTCTGTATGTGAGAAACTCAATAGCACAAGAATCGATCACATTTTTGGGCCTAAATTGTGGAATCACTATCTAACAGTATTAAAAGCTCAAATACGACGTCCCAATCTACATCTAATCTTAAGGGACATTTATTGGAATTCTATTAGCTTTTGTGCGTTAAAGGACATTTTACTCTTCGGACATTATTTTTCAGATACAAACGGTGCTTTGATGAAGGGTGGGAAACAGTTGAGAAAAGACTAACAGAGATGGAAAAATACTTCCGATTGATTAACTATGTCATGATGGATGCGACAAATTTCCTTTGATCGGGGAATAAGTTTTAAGTCACCCACTGATCTTTTGTCTATCCTTCCTGCATAATGTTATTGTTTATTAGCTTCATACATTTCCTTCGCCGGATTGTCGCTCAGGCTATGCAAAGTAGATCATTCAATACAAATTTAAATTTAGCATGCTGAGACGTGGTGATAATAAATTCCATACAATAGCGCCTAAGTAATTGACCTGCATTTTATGCTAGACTCTCCATTGCTCATACTTCTTTTGGCTCATACAATTTATGATTTACAACTAAAGTCGCCGTTCAGTGTCGCCGCGCTGTGTTACGGTGCCGGAACTGCCCTATCTTTAGCAGTTCCTGTCTTGCGCCAATTACGTGAATTGAAATTGCAAGATGGTCGACTCACAACCGCAGTAAAACCAGCGATCCGAGTTACTACTGTAATATAACACCATGTACGGCGCCGTTCGCCATTCCTCATAAACAAATCTTAGCAAAACAAGAATTACGTTACATGGGACCACCGACGTTCGATGAGCACGTGATCAAAAGAACAACCAGTAGATTGCCAGCATAAAAACAAATCCCTCACTTTTCAGAAAAAAAACGAATTCCACAGTGCTATCAGAAATATTTAAAATAAATGAAGTGATAGCCTTCTAAAGAAACTTTTTATCTTTAAGCACTGAAAATTTCAGAGCAATTGGTCCAGTAATCAAAGAGAAAAGCGACTTGTTAGGTTTTCCGCTAGGTGCCCAAAAAAAGCAAAACGAGCCATAGGTCCACTCCTTGTTCAACAAGAACGACAACATATAACAAAACGATCCATATATCCATTTCGTGTCCAATACCACAAGAGAGCGATGATCAACTATATGTAAACGAAACGGTACGGGTATGCAATCTGTCACAGGTGCCTACCGGTGGTACCGTTTCACAGCTGAGCAGCAGATGTGAACTTTCGCGAAAGCGGAACCTCCAAAAGAAGCGCTATTTTTAATTTTGATGACGTCATCGCACACAAGAACGAATATCCCAGAGGCCACAGATATTTTGGAAAAAATAAAAGTAATAGCCTTCTAGAGAAAATTACACAAGTTAGCCACTGAAAAAGTAGGATAAGGATAAGTAATGACCTTCTGGCGAAAAATACAATCTTCAACAACTGAAGATTTCCAAACAATTCGTTCAGTAATTAAAGAGAAAGGCAATTTTTTTTCATAACGATAAGTAAAACAAGGAACAACAACTTAACAAAACTATTTCGTGTCCAATGAGAAGAAAAAAAATTCGTCTCCGACAACAAACTTTTCAAAGTTCAGCAAATGATCCCCGTACGAGCGCAAGAGCAAGATCACTACCATTAGCTGAAAGCACTGCTTGCACTGCGGAGCTGCTCGAGGACGGAAGAACGAAGTTTCAAATAGGATAAGTGTCGGTATTTAATCCTGTATATAATTATGGAATTGTTTTGGGGCGACGAATCGGATGATGGTAAGTTAAGATTGATTACTTAGCTCTTTTTGGTCTAGTAGGAATACAGCAGCAGCAGTAGACTAAATACAGAAATAAAGTTGCTGACGCTGAGTACCGGTACCGTGCGGTACCGGTACCGGTACCTACCATTATTAGATTACGGTACCGGTTTGTCAGACTGCCGAACTACTTAACAATGCGGTACAGCAACGGTACCGGCATTTTCCAATAACTGAAATATCTTAGTTTTAGGGTCGATTTAATCTACTGTAATGATTTTTCAAATTTTGAATGCAATTGTTATAGTCTAATCCACATTTCCAACTCTTTAATACTCTTTCCTAATTTCAGAATTTGTTATTTTTGACTTGAAAATTCTGTCTGTTGGTTTTTGTATGCTACCGGTATGGTTACCAACATACGGTATACCGGTAACCGTACACAGTTACAGCTTTAAATTTGGGACTAACGAAGTAAGTAACGTTAACCGTCGTAACTGCGTAAATACCGCCAAACAATATAACGATCCGCGCAAGACAGATTTTTATTTATTTACAAAATCAAAAATTTTGAGTGTTTAAAGCAGTCACAGCATTTGGCTATACATTTGTGGATGTAATATTATAGTAGTACAACCTCGGAACCAGGGAACTACTTAACTGTGGCACAGAACAGCAGACGAAAGCACTCTTTATATTATGTTATATTTGCAAGGTTTTGAGTATTTCATGTAAACTAGAACTGTAGAATGCAATGAATACAAAAATATTGTATTTCTGTGTATAAACATATTGGGAAAACTTTACTGCTTTACTGTTTAAACCAGTGGTTCTCAACTTTTTTCATTGAATTCCTTTATTGTTTTGAAACTCTTTGTTCCTCCTTTCGTATGCCTTGAAACTACTATCTAAATTCCATATTCATCAGATCCGTTGCTAGTGTTATACACAAGTCGCGCCCATGTTTTTTTACTGTTTAAATAGTTTTGTACATATAAATAATTAGTATGGTAATATTAATCCTTCTGCATAAAAATCCCCTTGCTCATGCAGTCTTGTTTATTTTTGAAAATAAGAAACATGGAAAGAACATATATATTTCGTTTGAATGAATAAATATCAAACTACGGTAAATAGACATTATCTTCGTACTTGATTATGGAGATATGTTATCCTCTAATAGAGAAGGTGCTGTTGCTTTTTTGCTTCAGAAGATCCAAAATCAAACTTGGGAGAGAAAACATACCGTTATTGCCAGTGACTGACTGCACATATCATAGTTATAGAAATATAAAGATAAAATGAAACTAGTTTTAATAATTCTATCAATCTATTCATTAAAAGTTGAATTTTGAGCACGATTTCAATTGTTGCTGATTTCTGGATTAACCTAATTTTTTCATTTCATTTAGTAATTCTGAATGTTTTATTGGGCTTGAAAAATTGTTTAATTACACAAGATGTATAACAAGTCAAGCAATTAAGTTTGATGTGGTTTTCTGAATATTTACTAATTGAAGGTTTGGTTTCAGCTCAGAGTCGGTCATCTACAATTGCACCTATGTTTCATCAGTCTGTACCTGAAACAAGAAAAATCACTCAAATCACAGGTATTTACAACAAACATGTATTCTATATTTAATCGTGACATTTTGGATTGTACATAAATATTTTCCATGATTTTTGAAGAAGTTTATAACAGAATGTGCAACTATTGTCTTTTCTGTTTATTATTCTTGATTCATTAAGAATAAAATATGTATTGATAATTTTTGATTGAAGGTTATGCGCCACCATCTGCTGTACTGGCTGAAGCTCAAGCTCGAAAAGAAATTAATGTTTGTAAAACAGGACCTAAGGTAAGGTATTCAGGAATATTTATTTTGGTTTTACAGGGATTTATCTATGCTAAAATGCTCATCTACCTCATTTCATGAAAAGCATGGTTTCATTTTGAATTAGCAGTATTTGTTTGATCATATGGGTACAATTGTCTAGTGCAGCGGTCTTCAAACTTTTTGAGACACGACCCCATCTACAATATTATTACGCATGATAAGCACTCGCGACCCCAAGTTATATATATATATGTTCACCTACAGACACGAAAAAAAATATTTATCAAATTCGGAAATTTATTAAAAGAACCCAACAACAACCATATTTAATCAGTGTGAAGAATGCGACTGCTTCCTTCCAACAAGATCTTGCATTCGTGGCTTAATGTTGCTCAAGCTCAAACGCAAATCATGTTCTACGTTTAATCGATTTCGGTGCTTTGATTTTAGCAGACTCATAGCACTAAAAGTCAAGCTTGATCATACAATATTTTTCTTTTATGTTTATCAGCCATTTTATAAATTGTAATTATCAATATGACGGTAGCCTGGAAAATGAGGCTTTGCAGTAAAAGCAACGGCCACTGTACAGTACATTTAAGACACAATAGCGATTTACTTTAAAATATAAATTACTGTCGTTAAGCAATAGCCTTATTATAAAAGAAGTCACTCCAATTCGAAATATCGAAACTTGCTAGCCTATGTAGCGTTATTCAACTTAACAGTGCAGACTACACGCTGTTGTGTATTTGTGTCATAGAACACTGTTTTTCACACGGATTAATTTGTGATTATGATGTCATAATTGATTTATCGTAATTGCTCTTGATATTACCTGTCTGCGTGCTTGTTATTCATTCTTTTGTTCGAAATATCTAGCGTTATGCCGAGAAGTCACACACATAATAAAAATAATAAAAGAAAAGACAACGATGGGCACTCAGCGACCCCAGAAATATTCAAGGCGACTCCACTTGGGGTCGCGACCCACACTTTGGTGACCACTGGTCTAGTGCAAGGCTGCCCAACCCGCGGGCCGCATGCAGCCCGCCTAACTGTTTTTTGTGGCCCGCCCTATAAAGTTTATAAGCAGACTTTTAAAATTTTTACTATGTTATATATCAATATATATGCTAAGTATGTTTCGAGATTTTGGTGTGATTATTCCTGCCATCTATCTACATTCAAATGCCGGTTCCTAATATTACATATGTGTCAAGTCTTGCACCCGGGGGACATTTTCATTCTGATTGCTTTCTTTCGTGTCGGCTTTAATCGTCTTTATCGCCAACGTAAAGTAAAAAGTCAACAATATCTTTGGTACTAGTCCCGGGACTTGTTGTCCTTGTTTGTATTGTTGTTTATGGTATTTTTGCGTTAAAATTAGATTTCGGAAATGTTGTCACTGCGTATCCGTCAATAATTCTGATAAAATTGACTTACTTACATTGCTACATATTAGTCAAATCAGTATATATAGGCTATTCTTCCAGAAATCTTTGTACTGTTACTTCATTAAATACTTGTATTGGTGATTCAAATTTCACAAAACGGCCCACATATCCTTGATATTCCCGCGACATTGGCACACACATTATGCTCATTTAAATTTTAAACATTGAGGCAGTATCATGGCTACTGAAAGTGAGTGAATGAAAACACTATAACACAAATATAACACTCAATTTTGACGTATGTGTCTGTTCTCGTGTGGTAGTTAAAAATCCGCAAGTGTGTTTTGTAATGATTGTTTCTTTGATTCGGCGGCCCGCCTGTGTCATGTCCACGCCCCCCGTTTCCAGATTTCGGAATAGTAAACTGCCAGAATAGTAAACATGTATTCTAATATTCGACTTGATATTCGAATAATCTGCCAGCCTTACACAGTGACCAGAAATCAATAATTAACTCGATTGATTTTATGTTAATAAACTTGCCTTTTATGTATTATGTAAATTACTTAAACCGAAATCAGGACCTAGCTGGTATTAATGTTTGGTACAAACGTTTGCGGCCCGCAACAAATTTCGACACATGAAAGTGGCCCGCAAGACGGAAAAGGTTGGGCAGGCCCGGTCTAGTGCAATTGTCCATATACCGTAGTCTAGAGCAGGGCTACTCAACTGGAGGACCACGGTCCTAATCCGGACCTTTCGGCCATAAAATTTGGACCGCGTCTGCTTGTTTATTTTGGCAGCATAAGTATCGTTTTATAGTTTTAGATGATTTTGATACAATTTAAATACACAGCTATACAGTTTGTCGTACTGGTTGTGCGATATTTGTGTCCATATTTGCGAGCCATTCATTGCTCTTGTATTTATTTAATATTGCATTTGAAGTTTCGTTTATTTAATGAAATAAATTTTCTGCAATGTCCGGACCCCAATAATTTGGAAGTTTCGTAAACGGACCTTTGGTGAAAATAGTAGAGTAGCCCTGATCTAAAGTCATATGAATTTTAATTATTCCCTTCTGCAAAATCACCAATATTCCAAAATAATTCCCGCTATCTGGAGGACCCCCTCCATTTGAGATCAAATTTTAAAGTATTGACTATTTTGGGCTAAAATATGTTGATCTAATTTCCCCATAGATGTTTTTTTCAGTTTGTCATTAATTTTGCAGGATATTCCAAACCAGCTTAAAAGAGATTTTGCTTCAGGCAAGAGAAATGCTGCTGCATGTTTGAATGAAGTTTGTCAACTTCAGAGATGGAAATATGATTATAATGAAACGAATCCTTCCAAACCATTTGGTAATCAATTTATATTGTATACCACTGTATTTAATACACTGTGGTATATAGTACGCCTACTTAACATTAGGATGGATATTAGGATATTTTTGTATGTTGTATGTTGCAGGTTTCTAAAAATTGTAGTTTCTTCTTAATCTAAGGTAAAATCAATCTGTCTATTACCAATTAGTAGGCTATGGTATATTATGTTATATTCTGAAAATATATCATATTAAGGCTGTTGCAGCTGAACCTATTTTAGGAGCACAGAGCAAGTTCTGTGAATCCAGTTGTTTTCGTAGTTTCGGAATCTGAGGTTTTTCAAAATGAACTGTTGAGGTAAAGGATTTGAGTGTAATTCAGTTTTCATATCAAATTATTTAAACAAAATTATTGCATAAGGTTTATCTAAAAAATACCATGCCCATTGGAAATGTCTCGACTCTCAAAACTTTATTCTTGCAGTAGTCTGTTTTAACTTGCTATGCCTATCTGATTATGTTCAATGGTCTATTTACTAGGCCAACATTAAACCAATCCCAAACTTTAAACACTTTTACTTTCTTCAACACAACTGACACCTTAGAAAGAAAATTTGACTTTAAAGTTCTACACATTTAATCAATGTGATAGCTTGTATGCGTACAAACAATCCTAACATGGCTGAATGTCCGATAAAATCATAAAACCAGTCGTAATTTCTCTTTAACTTTAATCTTGCCATTTTATCGCAGTTTCAAAATTTGAGCAGACTTTTTGGTACTCCCGAAGTATGTGAACCAAAATGACGAACACCGGAACGTCATATGTGTACAAGGTTAGGGTTAGGTCATAATTTGATTCCAATTTCTCTATTTTAGTTCTATTACGATCACGAGTTCGGGAACTAGCCAAGTGACTCCAGTAGTATTTATACCTGAAATCATGGCCTAACCCTAACCTGGTACACATACTACGCTCCGGTGTCTGTCATTCTGGTTCACATCACATACTTCGGGAGTATACATCCAGTACAGACTTTTTTTATAGAAATTTGATTCATTTCTCGAGGCTCAAACTTCATAAACCACTGTAGCCGACTCATGCACACTGATAAAGTCTTACATTTTTAGATGCATATGGACGTGCAAATTTTGCAATAATGGCAGTAGTCAATGGCGTTCAATACACTCCTGGTGAAGGAAGAAATAAAAAAGATGCAAAAGTAGAGGCCGCTCGAAATGCGTTAAATGAAATTCTAGGACAAAATCCTGATCAAATACCTCATATGCAATCAGGTAAGATCATTGCTAGTCTATACGTTACCATTTTCATTGTCAAACTGTATTGAAGCAAGATATACTACGTAATTTACGTCCGTTCATAAGTTTGTATGTGCACTAAGTTTGATATGAAGTTTTATGAAAGAAGCTTATCTGAAACATAATGACTAAATAGTTTCGATGTTGAGTCTTCAATCTTCCTTGTCATGGGAAGTGTCACCAACTCATATGCTCGTCAAGGTAATTTGATGAATATTTGAAATGAAATTGATGCAGCGGGACGATATGATTGACGTGATATTACTAGATATGTAAATTTCATAATTTACCATTGCTTGACCGATATACCAGAGACTGGCGAAACTACTATTGTGATACAAGATTGCTTATTTCAATTGTATACTTCACAGTCTTGAAGCTTCCTTGCTTTGTAATGTATCGAAAAATTGTGTCGAAATGCACATATTTGTATATAATGATAAGTCTTTCTAGCAAATTCGTAATTCACTTGCAATGCTCATTTCGGTAATTTTAGGTTTCCAGACTTCTTGTAAATTTCACAGGATGTGAGTCATGCATTGGTGTACAATAGTGTGTATCTGGTCAAATTCGTTTTATCATTTTTTCATAGTAATTTCATTAGTTTAAAGAAAGGATAAGACACAAGCGTGAGTCAAACTTATATCTTGGACTTTTCTGAGTAATATTTGAATTCAGGCAGGCAAGACTATGACATGTATGGCCGTGCTGTTCCTCTGCATAATAAAACAGCATCTTCAGTTCCTCTCCCTGAAACACGCATGTACAAGCCAATTCCCAAACCAGTTATGCCACAGAAGACCAACTTTTTACCAGCACCTTCAAGATCTGTACAAATGGAAATGCTCAAAAGAAAAATAGTGGTGGGAATAAAATTTATTTGTATTTTGTGTACAGCTGTATATTTGCTGTGTTTTATTTTATTGTTTTGTCATTATGTTTTTTATTTTTACATTATTATTGTTCACTGGCATGCTGGTATGGTATTTGCGTTTTATTCTGTTTTAAACCGGGATAATGGCAGAGCTGTATTTACACTCTGCTGTGAAAATGTCGTTTGCTGTATCTCAAGTATTATTAAACGTCATTTTGAAACCAAACACAAAAAATTATTTGAAGAATATTCTGAGAAGAATGAAGCTGTTATTAAAAAGCAGTTTCTGGTTAGGAAAAATAATGTAGCACTTTCAAAAAGCCATTCGCTGTACAAATCGAAGTATGAAAATTGTTCAATTTGCAATTTATCAATTGTTTCGAAGCTACTTTGTGGTCGAATAAAAATGTCATTCTCCCAAAGAATAAAAAATCTGCCAATGTCTGTTCGAACGGTGGAATGGCAAGTTAAAGGCCTGGCTGTTGACGAAAAAATGCAACAGGCTGTTGCGTTGCAGTTGGTCAATATTTTCATTTGATCTTAATTAAAGTGTGGATATCAAATATCAATGATATTCCTCGTGTAGCGATCGTTTCGCGATATTGTTCTTACGATGATGTGCGTAAGGAATTGTTCGGTTTAAGACTCTTTAGCCTTATGTATGACCTCACAAAAGTAGTAGACATATTTGAGAAATTTATCAATCACTTCGCAATGGAAAGACATATTTCCGACCCGTGATCTATATTCTATATGATCGATATATTGTTACAAGTTTTACTGGCTGCAAACTCTTGCTTTGTGCATTTTATACCACTTACTATTCTGTTTGATAAATAAATATGTGTAATTTAGTTTAGTTATTGTTGCATATTTGTATCTAGCGTACAGGTTATTGTATATCAACTAAAATTGTTGTTTGTGTTTAATATATTGTAGTTAACAATATATTATTTCTCTATTATTTGTTACATTGTATTTTTCAGCAACTCATGAAAGTGTTGGAAGCTCTCGCAGAGAAAATGATTACTGATCTGCTGAATAAAAATCCTAAACTTCTTGCAGCTGCACAATACGGTGTAACGGCACAATTTATTGTGAAAAAAGGTTAGTTTCTGTTATTGTTGTTGCATGTTTGAGGGATTATTGTTGAAGTACTTTGTGTCACCAGTCTGAACTTTAATTAGGGCCATCCATTAATAAGCCAGGGGTATGCAACAGAAGGGCCAATACAAATAACTGGGTGAAAGTGCGGGCCGGCACCTCCATTTAACATAGGCTTTCTAGTAGTTGGGCAGGCACAAAGATTTCAGTTATTGATCTTATGAGAATGCGATGTTCGTCGTCACAAAGCTAGCTGTTATAGCATTGTAACGTCATAAGCGCAGATAATAAATTGGACTTGAGTACAGGTGGCGCAAAAGAATTTAAAATCACTAAGTACATACCGGATTACACCATCCCAAAATTGACACTTCAATGAGGGCTGCACAAGTTTTCTTATGGGCCGCATTTGGCCCGCAGGTTGCCACACTCCTGCATTAAGCACATGACTCACATTCTGAGGGTTAGTATTGCTTGATTAATAGAAGGTGAGCTTATTGATGTTTAACAAATTCTATTTTCAGCTGGACTGAAAGGAGAAGTAGTTGCATTAGGAACAGGAGATATGTGCTGTGATGGAGGTGATTTGATAACTGATGGAACTGTATTGTTCGATTGTCATGCTGAAACCATAGCAAGGAGGGCATTCAGAAGGTTTTTATTTAACAAATTTTGCAGGCTGGTGCATTTATTATTTGTGAGATGAATTATAGAGATATACTAGAATGCTGATATACCTTATTTATACAAGTGATCGAAGGAAAATGAAACCCATAAATTTGTTAATAATTCTACACAAAATGAAGAACATCAAATCAATATTTTTTATTCTTCAGCTTCTGTTTGTTCATCATTGTACTTCATCATGTAGACGCTTTTGCGTAAAGTTAATGTAATATTTAGAATATGTTCAAGAATACCTTCCAGCATCAAACGCTGTAAGAAATAATTAAGAAAATTTATGGGTTCCGTTTTTTTTGGTCACCTTTTAATATATATTCAATTTTCTCCACAATTTCATCTCTTGAAAGCTTATCCATTACATGGAATTGGAATTTTTGTGTTCAACTCAGAAGAATCAGATTTTTTTTCTGTATATTCATTGTGTAATCTCTCCACAATTTTGATTTATGAATCTATTCATTCAGAACAACAAGATCATGTCATTCGCTATAATAGTACAGTAGGATAGTAAATTTATGCAATTCTGAAGAAACTTTGGAAACATTTCGGAAATAAGGTTTACTTTATATTTTGTTTTATGAATGTCACATTCACTTCAAGTTATTTGATTTCCTATTTCAGATATCTTCTTAATCAAATTAGACAATGGTACATTGGACAAGAAGATTCGAGAAAGGAATGTATTTTTGAAAAAACAGATGATTCCAATCTTCTATGTCTCAAAGATACAGTGACAATACATCTTTATTTAAATAAACCTCCTAAAGGTGTGGCAAGAAATATCAAAAGGTGGTGGATTAGTCCTATTAATAAACAGTAACTAAATAATATTTACAATTAGTAATTGCAAATAACAAGTATGAGCAATATGTATATTGCTAGAGTGTTGGGGTAAACTAAACATGATTTGAAATTTAAAAAAAAAAAATTTTAATCTTACACAACAAATTATCAAATGTCATTGGATTATGATAATATTCAAAATATTTGAAATTGGGAGGAAATTGTAGGAATGATTTGATGAAACCTTATGGAATCCTGATCATTTATGTGGACCATTGTAAAAGTTTCCTTATGTTTTCTTGAATAGAGTAATGCTAATATTTTATATCACTCGATTAAATGATACTGTGAAAATTTGAAACCTACTGTTAGGAATATATATCTTGGTCATTTCATCTCATTTGATACTTTTTCTATTGATTGGTTGATACCATTACTTGTTTTTTATTACAGGACATCTGAACAATCTTCTGGGGATGAACTCAACCTAACATTTCTTCAAGATCAAGGTAAAGTAATGGTGATATTCATCTGTTTATCTGATATTAACATCTGATTCTGATCCAACAATAATACACGCCTGGCCAGATATGGAACGAAATTATCATATCAAGTGATTGCACAGAAAAAATCTGTGAATTCATAATTCACGGATTTTTTTTCTGTGCAATTCTGGCCAGGTGTGTATTATTGTTGGATCAGACATTCTTATTTATGACTAAAAGATTCCGGACCTGGGGTTGCTAGGTAACAGACTAATTTATTTCTTCACTTTACAGGTTCGGAAGAAACAAGAGTGCCATCATATGTCCAGGTTTCAATCAGTGCTTCAGATGTTTTATCAATGAATAAACGAAAAATGGTGACAATGTCTGGTACTGATAAAATAACGAAATGGAATATATGTGGTGTTCAAGGTTCTTTACTCAGCCTCCTCATCGAACCTGTCTGCTTGAGCTCAATTACTATTGGTGAGTTTTTTTCTACCTATCTGTTTATATTCATGTTCGAGATACAGAATGTCCTTCATTTATTTGATTTGGTTGTGCTTGCCAGTCGACTCGGCAATTTGACACACTCCAAAATTCCTTTGATATTTTATGTTATTTAATTAAAACCATTCTTTGATTGGAAGATTGTTTCCATGCTAACTCCTGAGTTATTTAGTATCCCTAATATTTACTTTCATGGAATTCTTTAATATAGAATACAGATATTTCGATCAGTACTCTCATTTCTTTTTCAGTTCGCAACTCACTTTTATTGCCTTTTTGTGCGACCCATTTACAAGAATCAAACAAAGTTAGGGGGTTGAAATATTTGGCAACTCATTGGACAAGATCACCAATTTCTAAACCAGCAGCTTTTTCTACTGTCTACATGAATTCAACAAATTACTAATCTGCCCTGTAGCCTACTACAGTTTCCAACTCGTAGGGCCGTACTAAAATTATTAACAAGACACAACGAATAATTCTAATTGTTACATTGTTCATAATTGTTCTGTAAAGACAATGCCACAATTTCCCACCAATCTAATCAAAAACTGTATGTAACATTTGTTAATACTTCGCAACCCACTGGTTGGGTAGCACTGATTTAGATGACAGTTTCCCCACATATTTTTACAGGAAACTGTTTGAAGAAGCCTTGGAAATTAGATCCTAAAGTTTTTATTTTTACTAATTCCAACTTTTTTGCAATAACTCATGTCATGAAACACATTTATTTTTCAGGGTTTGATAATGATGCTGGTGATTGTCATGCACTTAGTCAAGGTGTTAATGGGAGATTGGATGACGCATTGAATCAATATCTACCGGATATGTTCTTTGTTAATCACATCAACAAAATCGGTTCTTATTTCATAAAAAATGTAAGTTCAAAAGCTACATTTTTATTCAAAGTTGAATCATTACCAATTTTGCGCTTAACTTGTTTCTTCACAGTAAAGTTGGAAGCATGAAGTACGTAACGTGGACCATGAATGTCACTTTATGCTTATTCTAACCATTTGCTTAGAGTTTCACATGAATTTTTTTTTTATGTTACTCATCCAGATTTTGTTTTAGCTGGTGCGTGTATGCCAAGAAGTACTGAAGACAATACACAAGAAATTTTTTAATCCAATTGATTGATAGCTTGTACAGAATTGAAGATAGCTTGTACCTCTTCAGGTTAAAAATGTTTATAATAATTGATTAGTATATTGTTTAGCCAAAATCAATGGTGGCATTTTTTGAAGACATGGATCATTTAAGTATCAACTGGACAGTAGGAGATGAAAATGTTGAAATTGTTGACGGGAACACAGGAAAGATAGAAAGAACCTGTGAAGTAAGTTTTGAATTGTTTTTGACATACGGTAGTTACTTGACTTTCGTCATTTCGTGTCTTTTTATTTGAGCACTGCTATCTTGTTATGTATGTGTGTATATATTGTTTGCAACTATTCAAACGTGGATTGATGTTTTATTAGTTATAATTTTCTATTACAGAATGGCGATTCTCCAAGTCGCATAAGTAAATTGGCATTTTATGCATCATGCATGACACTTAATATTGAGATGGAAAACACAATATTGCAGCCAACAGAAAATTATCATCTGGCAAAAGTAAGTTTTTAATTTAATTTTTTATCTGACTGTATTGAACTAGACATGGCACATGCTGTTGTCACTTACGTAGTTCGGAGTGGAAATCTCCCAGGAGACTATTACTTGCCTTTTCTTCATTACAAATTTTGCGTGTTTAAAATATTTTGCATTTATGTCATATATCTGCGCACAATAGTGTGACTTTTCTTATTGTCAACTGGACAGCATCTAATCTTATTATAAGCTACCTTGTTGGTCATGAAATATTCCATGGCATCATGAATGGGGTTACATCTCTAGTCTTCCAATTACCTTGGTATTTACTTTATTTCTTCTTTTTTTAAGCATTCCTGCCAAAGTTATCAAGATACGAAGCGAGTTTTAGGTGGTCATCTAAGAGAAAGTGGGCGAGGCTATTGGGTCAATAGACCAAAGCAAGTCGATTGTTTTAAAGTGTGAATCGTTTTGTGGGCTGCTACAATGAAAGCTGAATTGAAACGCCTTGAATAACCGATTGCCTTCAAGTTATGAACTACTTTGAGAGAAGCTGATGTATAGACTTTTAAATATTTCAACCGAATGCATTTTTTTACAATTCCACCAATTTCGATAATTTTAAAATGGACCCATACCAAGAAAAGCTGATGGAACGGCTCAAGCGTATTACAAACAGCAGCCTTTTCCCAGTTACTATTTCGGTATATAGTTGGTAAAATAAGGTGCTTGTCTGCTTTTTCACATTCTTTTGTTTTTGTCCTTATTCTTTTTTCACTGTCCTTAATATTTTAAAACACAAGTAAAACTCGGAACTTTTTTGATCATGGTGACATTGTTTGTATTCCACTTATTCATTAAATGTTGTATTTCACATATTTCTGACTAGTTTTTCGCTTGGTTGCAAGAGCCGGCTTGTTAGATACAAGTTCATAGATCTCCCGTCCATTAGTTGTTAAGTCTCAATTTCCAAGGGAATTTTGAATCCAGTGACACCAGTTTTGTCGCTGTTACACTTGATTCTCCACTGTAGTCTGGGATGTAGCCATCTTTACAAAAATCGCTTCCTGTGGCATCGAGATTTCAGTTACTTCGGCAAATTTTGATTATCTAAATATTGACTGAACGCAATCATTGTTAGAATACAACAGTTTTCCAAAGCGTTTACTTGCGTCAATTTTGTGCTGCACAACTATTCTATACCTGGAGCAAACGTTGTAGTCGAAATTAGAATTTCAAATATCGATTTATAGGCCTTCGTGAAATGCCAGATGTCTGTCTGCAGTACGACACAAATTGAAGCAACACGAATAGCATGTAATGCCTTGGCCACATGCTGTTACATTTATGCTCTCATCTCTACGATTATATAAAAATTGTGTGACTCTGCTTGTTATTATACTTTTGCGGAATTTACTCCAAGCGGATTGGGTTCAAACAGTGCGTCGAAGTCATCACTTCAAATCGTGGGCTTGCAATTAGAGGCTCAGCAAGGAGTTTATTATTTTTGCGATGTTGGGGATTCGCTATTGCCGTTAGAAAGATCCCAAGACCTGCGAAAAAAATCCCAATTACTGCAATTTTATCTCGGTGCATAAAAATTGTTCAAACATACATTACATTGATTATCCTATATAATATATATCATCATAATCTGTGGGAAAACAACAATTATAACTTAAGATTAGATAAGAAGATCGCACACAATTTGCTGTTTAACTTCAGTTTCAGTGGTATAGTTTTCAATTCATAATGTCTGCCGCAGGAACACGGATTTTCGGCGTTTACAGTATATATATATCTGAATTAGCGTTTTCCTGTCTGTCGCGTGACTGTTAAAACGAAACTTGCGTTTCCGTCTTATTTGTAGTTATTTTATAAATCCGTCTTCCAATCTTAATATTCACTCATTTAATTTCAGTCGGAAATTTAAGTTGCGGATTTTCTCCTTTGATTATCTTGTCCCGATGAAAGCATAATAACGAGTGTTTCACACTGGGCGTTCAACTGCGGGCGAGAAAAATCGAATTGTCGCTGTCCCCATGCCACAAATGTGCAGAAGGATACTTGTGAGACTGGTGTTTGCGGCCTAAATAACGACGTCAAGCGGACGAAAACGAAGCGGCGATTTTAACAAATATTGCGAAAATCGCAGTGAGGTTAGCGCAGTGGTTCCCACCAACCGGTGGGAAATTTTCCACTAGTGGGGGATTGCTGGTGGGGAATAGATTCTTCTTTAAAAATGTATGCATAATCACCCAATTGATAAATATTACACAAAGAAAATTACAATATATGCCATGAAGCGGAAAAAATCTATTCAGTCAATTGAAATTTTAGTGAAATATCACGTTGTTGGCCATGATATTCTGATTAGGGATGTATCGGTATCGGCAATTTTTTCGGTATCGGCTAAATGAAGACCGATATTTCCGATACGTTTACCTTTTTGATATGATTCAGAATGTTTTAAAAAATAAGTTGGAATACTGATGTTTAAATTATTTTTTGCTTGAGGGAATCGTGAACTATGAGCCATACACGTCCCCAACCCCGCGAGTAGAAACGAGAATGGGATTCTTACCTGTTCTTAGTTATTTATCAGCCAAACGCTCAACTAATTTGACTATTTTACTGCCAAATTTTTATATTGACGTTTTTAAGTACCACATATTAATTATGAATAAATATACCAATCGAATAGTAGTGGATTTTCTAATGTGTAAAATACAAAATATGTCGTAATATTGGGACAAAATCTTGCGCACGAACCTAAATGTATCAATTTGATATGATAAGTAGGCTAAACATTTATTTATATCACCATCCTGGTAGCAAAACCTTATGAGCAGGGATAACAATATTTTCGATACTGAAATTCCGAATACACTGTAAAATCCCCCTCATAAATACAATTCACTTTCCTAAAATACAGGGACATATAAATTAGGCTTTGGTAATGTTATCATTGTAAAGCAGTCAGAAGGCATGTGTGATATAAATGAAATTGCTCTAAGAAAGTAGACTTAATAAGCATAACGGTATTTATACCTATGAATTGTGGTGGTAGATGACAAGCACAAAAATAAAAGCAACTAGGCTCCCAGTTTTAAATCATAGTGTAGAAACGTCTTTAACAGCATACGCACTTTTTGGTAGGGTTATAAATTCTGACTGTTTATCGTTAAGCGCTAGTGTCATTTAGTCCATCGACATCTTTAAGCTAAATTCCTACTCAATTATCTCTCAACACAGGTATTAAATATTGTGATTCCATTAGTTTTAATTTTTTTGTTTAACTATACAATTTCCTCATATATATATATTTATTGTCATGGTTGCCCAGACTATCTCGAAATATACGATAATATTTGCGATATATGAAATAATAAATTCAGAAACATCCTCGACGTGTTATAGGTATTTCTAGCCAGCGCTGATTGAAATCCTCTCATGTCGGCTGTAATTTATTGTCGCGGCGCACGATTACGATAAAACAAAATATATGTGAAATGTTTTCACGTAAAACGTGGACGGCGGCGCTACGACGTGTGGACAATAATCGATATTCTTATAATAAGATATCCCTGCCTATGAGTTTTCTAATTGAACACCGAGATTACTAGCTTCAGTACACAATGCATCTAAATTAATTAACGCATCTGAATCCGGAACATCAATTTCTTATGATGTATTATATCCCTTTTCAATCTGAAATAATGTGTAGTATGAATAATGCTTAAATACTAGTGTTTTAACCAGTCTGCCCTGCACACGTGAGGCAATATTTACATAGTATCGGAATATCGGCCGCTTTGTAATATTAGGTAGGCATACGCTCTGATGAATAAACATCTGGCCCGTGCCGTCATTTCGCTAATCTGTTAGTAAAAGGTAATGTATAATGTAAAAAGAAAGTACGATCATCATATTCACTGCTGTGGTCTCATGTTTGTAAAGAAAAATTTTGAGCAGCTGCCGCGATGCGTTGTATGCCTTGAGACCCTCCCCAATGGTTCTATGAAGCCCCATCCACTGAGGCAACGTATTTCTAAGATCCGTCCTCAGTTTGCAAAAAAAAAATCGCAGCTTTTTCAAAATAAAAGCAAGTTATGTGAGAAAGATGAGATTTGACAGTGTGGAGGATAATTCCAGATGAGTTTAAAGGCGATACTGACTTTGTCTTATGCAAATGTACTGCGAATACTGAGAGCCAAAAATCCCCATAACATCGGTGAGACATTGGTAAAGCCTTGTCTGATTGAGTGTGTTAATCAAGTATGCGGCGTAAGATAAAGCAAGTCGCATTGTCCAGTAAAAATGATGCACATTTTCAAAAAAAGATCTCGACATCCCGTTCATTATATCAAAAAAGCAACAGCAAAATTGACAGTGTAATGTGAACTCTAATGCGTTGAAATGTTCTATTCGATTTTATTTATACGGATCGTCACTGTCTTGAAAATTGGAATGCTAGAGGGCACAATAAATGTTTTCTCGGGATTTCAACTTCTGCACCAATTGCAAGCCTTTATTAAAGAAAGTCTTACCAAATATTATTGACGGGTGAATCATTCTCTTTAAAGGAGGAAATATGTTGTGAGAAATGAAGACTCAGTCCAAATCGGAAGTGAGAGATCGGGATGAGTAGGTGGAGAAATCCCTAGCGACATATTTGGGCTTCCGAAAATTTCAAAAAGGGGCGCTTCGAACCCGAAACTAGCTGCTGCGCCTCGGCCTGCAATACGATTATCAGTGAATAGTTACTTCATCGATTAGCTCATTACAATTTCGCGGGAATTGGGACTCCATGGGTCGTCGAGGTATTATTCTGCACTTTCATGGGTGCGTCTTAGTCACAATGTACGTCTCGCCTAGTTTCAAGATCAAATATAGATAAATTGTATATATTCAGATACGTTCTCAATTAGCGACATAAATTATTGAAACTTTCTTTATTTCCGACTTTGTCGGAACAAAAGCATGAAAAACAAGCGGATTTATTCGACGTTTAGCCAAAAATAATCCACACTTTTATTTGTCTGCAAATAATAGCCATTTACTTCAGCGCAATGTTGCTTATTCGCTTGGCCATTTGTCCACTATATTTTGTTTGTCGAGTATCAGATTATTTAAATGTACCGCAATGCTTGCAAATTGCAAAACATATTTTGATTCCATACTTTCATGACTACAGAAATCGGTAAGAATAATGTGAGTAAAACCATCGCCATTACGGGGTCGTGACGTAAGCGATTTTGCAGTAATTTAAAGAAACTGATTTTGGTCGATCACGTGCAAGTCAAATCGCGGGTATAGTTGGGTATTTATACCGCTGGGCTGCATATTAGTAAGTTAAAAACTATCAGATGACCACGAGGTTGGAAAAAAAACAATTTCGCTGAAAAAGTTATCCAACATCCACCGCTGGAACTTTATACTGACAGCCTAGTCGTCGATCAGCTAGGTGTCGCTGCTTGAAGACCTTTATAGGTCCCTCGCGACTCCAGTCACACAATTAACATGATCAGTATATTTCGTTTGTTGTAACAGTTTTTTATATGCTTGTTTTTTGTGTTGACAAATAAAAGATTGATTGATTGACAGATTCCGTTCTGGCGAAAATGCACTCTCGCAATATTCCGTTACACGGGAAGTCTTGTTTTTTCAATACGTTGCCAATTTTTTTTAGCGTTAGTTTGTTCCCGCAAATACCATGGAAACACACAAAGTCACTGCCACACGCAACCCTTAAAGCAATGGGCGGCAGGCAACTTTTTGTCGCTCGTGGGCCAAAATAAAGGGTTACGAATCTTAGCGGGCCGCACATAATTTATTAAGAAAGATAAAAACTGAACGGGCGGCTGATGAATCACATTATTTACACAGATCAAAAGTTGAAAATATAGACTAAATAGCAAGCAAACACTGCGACAACTCGTGGACTCAATTCGTCTTATTATGCAAAAAATTTACAAATGACATTTAATGTAACAGTATTTGTTGCATTACGCTTGATACCTATTCGGCATCAGGTGACACACTGGATGAAGCCAAAACTAGAACATTTTCTGAATGGCTATCACTAATCCTGTTCTCCGCACTGAAAATTTCATTTTGGTCCAGTAATTGAAAAGAAAGGCTATTTTTTCATAACGATAGGAAGAAGAACAATAACATCATGATAAGGATCCATAGGCCCACTCCGTGTCCAATAATCTGCTCCTCGAGCGTAAATTATAAAATTATGATTGAAATTCGCAGCCGCCGTTTTGTCGCTAAATTTCAGTGAAGCATTGCCGCCGAATTATTTTACTTCCTCTGGCCGTAGGTGCCGACCCCTGCTATAAAAATCTTCAAAATTTGGTTTCCCGCAATGCTTCTTGTGTTTTGTAGTAGTATTGTGGGCACTAATTGTTGTTTTTCTCGTTGTCGCAATAGCAGCAGTGAGCATAGCTCTTACCTTTTCGACTTTGTTTGACATTAGCAAGTTTTTTTTTCATATTCGAAACGAAACTCATGCCTTCGTTTACTCATTGTCTAAATTATGGTTTGTCCCTAAAAACAGTATTCCTAAAAACTAGCAACAACTATTGTAAATGTGTCACAGTTTGCCTGGAAATACCGCAAACCCTACCGCTAACAGAAACAGTTCGTGCTGAAAGTGAGCGGTTCGAGACACAAGGTCACGGTGGAACGTAGCTATTTTATACGTCACAAAAATAACGCAGAGAAGCGCGAAGCCGCGAACAATGATATTCATCTCCCTCGTTTCCACGGAAGCTTTGTAAGCAAAACAAGGACGAGTCATCAGTGTTTCTATGACAAAATGAGCACGCAACTCAAAAATAAGCACTTTTCTTAGAAATAAGCACATCGTTACTTTATAAGACGCGGGCTGGAAAATAAGCACAAATCTTAAAAATAAGCACAATATGGTAACCCTAGCAATAGCCTACGTGGTTTGTTCAAGTGGTGGAAGAGCCAATGCCAGTTAGGGAAATTAGTACAATAGTATATCGTCAGGCTAATAACCGAATTGCGTCACTTTTTGGCGGTTTTGAGTTGCAATAGTTATTTATGCAATGCTGCACCTGTCAGTTAATTCAGATTTTTTCCCAAGGATTCCGAAACGCATAAAAATGGAGATGTATGTGACGTGAACATTATTGCAATTGTCCCATCACAATAAATTCCACTTTATAAAATTGTGACGTCACAAATGCAAAATAACATCGGCACAGTATTTTTCGGGTTTTTGCATCATAGATTCTAGCTTAGTGTATATATAAATTTGAATTTACACTGCGGCATATGAAAGTGGGCACTTGTGATATCCACTTTCTGAGTCCAATTAATATTGGTTGGCTTTTATTTAGAGATTCATTGCTTTTTTATTTATTAAAAGTCTCATTTCGGTTAAGTGTGCAGAGTGCATTATATAGATAAAAAATATATTGGTATTAAAACAGATAAGCTATTTTGGGGATTAGACATCGTATATAATGTAAATTACATACGTTTTTCGAATATTTGGTTTTCAGGACTGATGGATATAGCCAAGTTGAAAAATTGCGTATGTCACCAAGTCATAGGCACATTTCTTCGTAAATCACAGTGCGTCCTTATGACGTCACATGCCTACATCATACAAATTAAGTCAAAATTCGGATACGACTAAAAAATTGAACCATGGGGAATTATTTTCTCTCAATGGCATAACAATATCATTAGTAAGTTTTTTTACGCTTTTCATGGAATTGCTGAATATGACTTACGCAATTTGGTTATTAGCGTTACGATATTAAAATGCGTCAGCATATAGGAAGGTGTGTAGAATGACCTCAGTGACTGAAGGATTTGACTGATGACTAGTTTTCTAGCGAATTTTTATAGTATCTACCTGAGCTTTACAAGTCGAAGTCTCGTCACAGAGCTTGATTTCCTCAGCCATCAAACTAGTTTCGGAAAACTAGAATTGACCGAATTTACACAAACAAACAAAAAAAAACAGTGCAATATAAATATGAAAACGCTATGGCTTACAAACACGATATATATTTTGTCGATCAGGAAACACGACTGACGAGTATTACTCAGTCATCAGCTTCTTCAACAAAATCTCTCTCTTGTGTATGCTCGGAAGTTTTCTTGCTAGTTGAACAATTTACTTCACTCGCCATCACGTAATTAGTATTCACGCTTTTTGTTTCCTGAGCCATTGAATATAGATCCTCGATGGTCTCAATCGGATTCGGCGAAAGCTTTGAATGAGTGTGTGCAGAGAACCTTTGTAGCAGAAACGGTTTCTTTTTTATCAAGCTGAAATGTGATCAAAATTCATTTTCAAAATTGAACCCTTATTCACAGAATAAGTAAAATGTCGCGTATCTTGCCCGTAACTATAATTTCAGCCAATGTAAAAATCATTTATGACCTCATAATAATACAGTTGCATCATAGTGACGTCTTACTGGCCCTGGTTTCAGTATATTATGTCACTTGTACTTCTACCTGGAAAACACTATAGCACATATTTAACTTCAAATACAAGTGGAAAAAACGGATGTTGTTTTGCACCACATTAGTCACACACTGCCATGCCCTTAAAATCAAACATAATGCCAGGGCTGAATTTACCTATGTACTTGGCAGGCTCAAGTCTGAAAACGCATGGACGCTCTACTCTCTCTAAATTTCGTATTTTACAAACATCTTGGAAAATAATTCATGACATAATATATTTTACAATACATGAAATCTCTGTAATGACGTCATAATAAATTTATGGGACCTTACGGCATGTCACCGTCTAAATCCGACCCTGCTCGTACTATATATATATACATAGAAACTTACAAAAATAAAAGAAGCATTATAGCAATGATGGAGAGGCCGAGTAGAATTCCTAAAACCACACGCGATGAATCCGATGTCGTTGGTTTCTCATCTGAACATGAACAATAGAGAAACGCTCAAATATATGAAAATGACTATTATTGGTCATCGAAATATTTGCAAAATTAAAAATTGCAGCAAAATTCGAGGATAATTTTTAAAAGAAACAGTACTTGGGATCAGTGAAATATCGGTACCGCGAGATTCCGAATTTGACAATAGTAAAAGTAATAGTTTACCAACGATTCAACGAGTACTGAAAGCGAAAAAAGCCTATTTTTTTTTGAAAAATCTTGAAAAGAACAATAAAAATTTATCAGAACGATCTATTTCGGGCCATATTGTGTCCAATAACTCATTTTGTCAAATAATCGGAATTTATTTCAAATGTGTAGTATTGGGTTTTTCTAAACGTATGCTCGTCCTGACGCATTTTTCGTGTCAATGAATTAGTTGTATCAATGCCCTACCGTCACTTTTCTGACATCTCAGAAAGTCGTATGTCATAAATACTGAATTGGCTGTTGTATTTTCGTGTCTTTTAAATCTGATCCTCGGAAGAGAAGTTTTGTTGAAAATCCACAATTTGCTTTCACATTGCTGGAATCCATTTTTAACGTTTTCGCAAATTTTCCATCCTCTCTGTGCAATGAGGCAAGTCCTAGGTTTCAACTTACAGATGTTCTGCCTGAATACGTAAACCAATTACAACACAAATCGTATAACTTATCGACTACTACATATATGTTTTTTTTCTTGTACGCTGTAAAGACAGCAAATATATAAATATTTCTTCGTTTGAGAGTACAGCTGATATTGTAAATCTTCAGAAGTAGTACGGCCTATAATTAACAAGGCATACTCTGAATTATTATTATTGAATTATTTTTAAAGATTTAAATTCAGTATAGAACCAACAGCGTGACGCTTACCTACAATTTTAATGACAGATTTTTCAGCGCTGTCGCAATAGCGCTCTACGTTCCACAAATGTAATACCCATCACGAATTTTTGGTTAGAGCAGTTTTCACTTGTGAACTTTTTGTGAAGATAGGTAATATTTCCAGTAGGGTTTGAACACACGTTATTGAATGATTCGGTGTGAAAAGCGTTAGTGAAATGAGAATCTTCAAAAGAAAATTTTTAAACCAAATGAATGATGGAGAATCACAATTTAAATATACATATAAATGTTTACCAAACCTCGTGTGCCAGAAGGTTAACTTCATTGAAAGAAGTTTTTTGTTTTTTGAAATAAAATAAAAAATTAATAGATTGACAGATAAGTAATTTTAAATACAAGCTCACCGTAACATAAAGATATCATCAAAATCCAAAGACCAATATACACAGAATCATCCATGACACCTGTTGTCAATTCGACGTTTAAGTCAGAACGAATGCGATGGTCAGCAGCGGTGAATGTCTCGGTATAACAGTGTGAACACCGCAAAAATATACCAAGCATGTAGAAGGACCTTAGCATCCGTTTTTCTTATATGATCCATATGAATAGGCAAATATCAAAAATAATCCAAGATGATAAATTTGAAAAAAAAATACTTCGAGATATATAAGGTCCGTAATTGAATAATACATTGTCGTCCTAATCCTAGCACCATGCTTAAACGTTGTACGTCCTTGGCATGAGTAACGTATGGTTATTTCCGCACGGTTTCAAATGTTTTTTTTTCAAAAGTGGTTTTGCCATTCAAGCATATTCGATGAATCGCATTGTATTTGAAGCATCACTTCCTATAAAACTGCTTTTTAGTTGCTACAGTTCTGTTTTGCAGACATTCATTTGTCTTGTAGATGTCAATGCATAGACCTTTATAGCTTTTTTTTTATCTTGGTGGGCCACATACAAGTTGGTTGTTAACCCTAAGACACATTTCACCATTGCAGTCCTCTCCAGCTATTAAGCACTACCTGATTGTGAATTATTTACCTGCGTTGTATTATAATACCGCCACATATTTCTCGTTTTTGTTAGCCTTTTAAATCGTGCAGGACTACTAACCTTTAAGCATAGTGTTCCCCGCTTAGAGGCGTATTTCATTGCTCAATGACAAGCCGAGAAAACGCCAATGTGAGAAAATATTTTAATGATTAATACCTCAATTTATCGTCTTTAAAAATTTTGCATGCACATCATGAGCTGTCAAAATTTGTTGCATTATTAATAAAATTAATTTCCTATTAATTAATTGATATAATTGTGCTAATATTAATTGATTTCAAGAGATAGAAATGTTTATCAAATTTGAATAAATAATGAAACTACATCTCTCTCTCGACTCTACTAAATGCTAACGTGATGGTATTTTTCCGTTTGTTGTTTACCCTTTTGTTTTTTTGTCTGTTTTGTAATTTTGATTTGATTTTTACTGTTTGATGATGATTGCCGCCGAACGCGAAGGCATGAAGGCATCGTCGGCCACGTTTTGGCTGGACAAAGACACTCGACTTGCTTTTTGGTAGGGAGCAGACATTTTTCGCGTTTTTGTCTGTTGTGCTGTTTTAAGTTAGTTCATAGTGTATATATAATAGAGTCGTTTTTGTGTTTCGTGTGAGAAAGTTCTGTTCGAGTTATCATTGTCCACATTAAGGTATAATTTTGATGTTGGATAAAGCCGTAGTCGACCTCGGAACTTCCGATTTTAGCGTAGTGGATGTGTTTTCAAAGATAGAGAAAAAAAGGGTAAAAAATTTCCCGGAAGACTGATAGCAAACAAAAGCTGGTAAAGAAAAAAATCAAGAGCTTGTGTGTAATTTAAATTCACCGCGCCTAAATATCAACCACATTGAAGCGATTGGAACTCTTTCGTCAGGTACTCTTTTGGTAACGACGATTGTAGTTTCCAGATACACCAAACCAAAACACCAATTAATGCAATGGGCTATTATCTCTATAAATAACAAACCGGAAACGACTGAAAATCGTGTGTATAAATAAAAAAAATCTCTAATCTCTATCTCTATCTCGATCTGTGGTACATCGAAAGCTGTTTTAATTTGGACGGAAGGCAAACATGCAAATTCGGACTACACTATAATTAAATCTGCATTTGAATATACGAAATTATCAGTGACTTTTTGGTATATATTATAATTCACGAATCGATAACAAAGTTGAAACTGAAATTATCAGCAAATACAGTATACTCATGTACAACAATATCTCCTGCCCTTTTAGAACTTGTACGAAAATTAGAAAGTAAGTGTTTCCTACGCAGCAAAGCCTGAAAAAAAAAATTCAGGTGCTCCAGAAGTATGCGCTCCGAGATGTCGCACAACCTGAATCCTAACCGGTACAAACATACTATGTTCAGGTTGTGCGCCATCTTGGCGCGCATACTTCTGGAGGTACAATTCATATATCATAACAAAATACCATGTATCTACCTATTCACTGGAACCAAAAGGTATGATGCTAAATGAATTGAAGAGACAGATTAAAACCAAATGTGTCACAGTCTTGAATCATAATAATATTTTGCTTGTCGCATCATATTTCACATCGTACATATTAGCATTCTAAAAAGATGGCTAAAGATGTTCCTGAGCGATTTGAACTTTACCAAGCTGTCCGGAAAATAAGGCAAAATCTGACACAACCACAAAAGGCCGATTTCTGCTCTGGGGGCCATGTTATTCTCCATAACGCCCAACACTAAAAATTGTTTGTTCATGCCACCTTTTGTACATTATGCTGAATTTAAAATGGATGAAGTATATTATATGACTGAATGTTAATCAGATTTGCAAGTTTACCATTTGAACCGTATACTAAATTAATATATAACTTATTTTAAAACGTGTATCGAATTTGATGGTCAGAAATCTAGATTGACTGAAAGAAGCACAATCATGCTTCGTGACAAACTACATTTGATTTTGAACAATCTCTTGTTTGAGAATGTTTTGCTGTGATCTTAGTGACATTCTAGTTGGGATTATATTTGCTGCAGTCTATTTCCTGTACAATTCCAATATCTATCTATCCATAATGTAATATCTCATTTTAGAAAATCTATATGTGTATTTTGCATACCCATTAGGACAAAATAGAACTGATTTTTCTTCTCAGTTTATCAAATCTGTTATATCAGACGTAAACAAGAGAACGATGCCTAAATATATAGACACGAAGACCAAAACGGAGTAATACGATTACCGGTATGCAATATGTCACAGTGAAGCCCTGAACGAGTAATTGCACTCGGGGAGTCGGCGAAAAATTCCGGTCCTGTTGACAGGGATTTTACCTGACTAGGTGACTCAAGATTTGATGTTGTCGTATATTCTGTCTCGGGTCCGACCTCGCCCGTTCTCGTGGTTGATCCTAAGCCCGTGGATAACCCATATTCCGGTCCTCCCTGTGGTTGCAAAAATTATTAATGCAGCCTGAAGTGCGATATGGATGACGTCGAGAACTGGAGACCCATCGCAATCTGCCGCACGCTGTATAAAATCTATGCAGCCGTGATTGCACGTGGTCTTCAGTCTTAGGCATCTAGGGGGAAGTGATTTCCCCTTTCTTCGGCTTCGTTCCTTCCGAAAGCGTTTTGAGTATGTTTTTATGCTTGATTCGGTCATTGCGGATGCCAAGAAACACAAGCGTAATTCTTATGTGGCGTGGTTTGACATCCACAATGCTTTCGGGTCGGTTAGGCATGATGCCATTCTCGAAGTCCTGCGACATTTTAGTGCACCGGGTACATGTTGGAAACCGTTGCTGACGTTTACAGGGATAACGTGTTCACCATAGGAACTACTGATGGTGACACGTCCCCTATTCCATCTGGTAGAGGAGTCCGTCAGGGATCTCTTTTTAGGCGATCATTTTCAACATGGTGATGAAAGTTCTATTCTTGGGCATCAAGGGTTTGCCGGACGTCGGTTACCGGTTACGATGTGCGCCGGATGTGACCGCTAACGGCCAGGGCTACGCAGGCAATTCTGCCCTATGTGCGTCGTTGCGACAACAGCTTGAGGCAACTCTCGATATGTGGGGAGCTTGCGCAATGGTCCGGAATGCAATTTAAACCATCCAAATGCCATGTTTTTGCCTTGGTGGACAGTGAGCTTTTCCTGCTCAAGGGTTGCGAGGTCACTGTTCTCAGCCGGGTTGACGTCTGGAAGTATCGTCGGACAGAGTGTGTTTTGAACCAAAAATTTTAATTTGCATTTCCTCCAAGACTATTCTTATAACTACGGATTCTATATTTCCGTGGACGCGATCTTGAGCAGCTAGATGCCAGCATCCGTCGTCTGATGAGAACCGTTTTCAGGTTACCAGACCGGACCTGTCAGCCGTTTTTCCACTTCACGGCTGCGGCGGGGGTCTGGGCGTCCCGAATGTTGCCCGCGAAGCTGACATATTTTGGGTTACCCAGGCGTTCAAAACCTTGAACTGATCCGACCATTTGTTCCGTTGGATTCCGTTAATAGAAAAAAGGCGAGCGGTAATTATAATTCAGTTGCATTTTCTTCTTGTTTAGAACCTATCGCCGAGTTTGCCAGCCCCTCGCAACAATTTTATATTTGTCATTTTTGCATAGGATTTTCTCTGTGAGTTGTCCGTGTCTGATGTTGACATGTCTTATATTAATCTTAAAATGTACCATCTGCCAGTCAACGTACCACTTACTAAATATTTATTTATTCTTGTTTTATATATCTTGAGGGGCTGACTCAGTTAGATAAGCTGTACTTTTTCTTTTTCTTGACGGTTATACTTACATGTTCAATTCAATACTTTATTAAGGTTAAAATCTTATTTGTATTTACTTTATAAATATTGTTTTGAGCCCCCGCGCTGGGGAGGCCGGGGTTACTGGCGAATGTACCATTGATATTTCTAATAAAAGTACATAAAAACAAAAACCGCAATCTTCACGACTAACGCGACGCGGATTCGACACAATGCGCGCAATTTTAACGGCTACTTGGCCAACAAATAAACGAATCCCATAGAGCCCGCAGAAATTTTTGAAATACCGTAAGTGAAAGTAATGGTCTTCATTAACCACTGAAAATTTCAAAGCAGTTGGTCTATTTATTAAAGAGCGATAACAGGAATAAGCACGATAAAAAGAAAATACCAATAAGTATAAGAACATATTAACAAAACGATCAATATGCACATTTTTTGTCCATTAATGTTTATCGTTTTCTTGCTTTGTTTTGTAACGCTGTTATGTTGTGAACATATGAGCAGGGCCGAATTCAGACATACGAGGCCTCAAGGTAGTTGCTTAGAGAAATTGGTATAGCTATATATCAATATTTTATCGTCTTTTTTAAAAATAAGAGATTTATTCGAGTACTGTTCAATTCATTTAAGTTAGTATATTTTGGTCAAGTTAAAGCACGTAGTTTTTTAAATTTAGAAAAATTCAGTTATTCGACAGTATGTACACTGTACAGTATTCGACAGAATTATTAACCCGATTGAAAAAATAAATAAATGTCAGTTTAAAAAAAATTTTCATCAATAATAAAAATCACTTTCATTGAATTTGCAAATATTAATAAATAAATGAATGTGTCGAGATTCGAGTGCGATATTTCATTATAACGTATAGAAAACGTCATCATATCGTATATATCTCTTTTCCTTCAGGCTAATAGACTACAATTTATCATCGCGTTATCTAGTCACGGGAAAGGTATTACTAAACTGAAACGGCGCATTAATTTTGCATACCAATAGAGATAAAGATCGAAAAGTACGTGTCTCTGATGACAATATCTTTTCATAACATTTTCAAAATTCAAACTATATATATCACCCACACTGGAATGTAAAGCTAATAACAATCATTTTCAGTTATAGCATGATTGTGCCAGAATTCTGAATTGAAATGATTCAAATCAGAGTAATTCGAATTGGTTTGAAGCAATTTTAGGAAAAAATATTTATTCGAAATTCTATTCCAAAATTAAATATTCGAAACTAATATTCCTAGTTGTGTCTTTCGAAAATAATGCCAATCCCATACGCACTATCAATTCCTCGTGTTAATAATATTTTATTCTAGTTGAATTTTAAATTACTCGCCAACTCACTAAGGATACCAAATTTCACCTTGTTTTATTCGAACATCAACAGACGAACGTTTCAGAAACTCAGTGTCATAATATCCCATCACTAATCAAGACAAATGCGATCACATTACTAACGCAATATATAAAATTCAAAAACTAATAGTGCAATAAACGAAATACAGACCAGTTCATGGAAAAAATATATAAATATTATATACCAGAGGATTTCAAATAATTGATTGACGTTTTTGCAATGACAGGATATATATTACGTTTATTGGATACTCACTCCAATTGTAGTATTAAGTTACACACTTTGTACATTTGTGTATTCATTGTACTCATAATTTGGGCTAAAAAATTCAACTTATATCTTCCCAATCTACCCTATGAGCTCATATACATTGATACAACCATTGATAACAGCATTAAAAATTTGGTTGATAACAATCGCTTTAGATATGTGTACGAAACAGGAAAACACTTTCTCTCTTATTTCTTCGATAAATAAGCACAAAACAAGCTTCAGGCGAACGCAATTTTTTACAATGGTCATAATGGTAATAGAGGTATTGACACTTTAAGGTCGTGCAGGTCGTCGTGGATGTTTTTGACAAAAACGTTAATCTCAAGTCAGAGCCAGCAAAGTTTAATGTTATCCGCAGGGCAGCAGCTACTTAACGCATTGCGGTATTGTTTAAGGTCAACTTTCTATCAGTCTCATATCGTGAAATACAATAAAAAAAAATGTTGAATATTCTGGCATTCACACGTTCTGATGTTTCTGTTCATAGCTGGGAGAAGAGAGTATGGAACATGGGTTAGGTTCGAGTAGTAAATCGAGCTCGCACTCAAAAGCAAAATACTTCTCCAACTTCAGACTTTAGCCATATTATTCATTCTTCACATTTTTGAATTACAATGAAATCCACCCACCAATTATTTTAACAGCATATTTGTTTTTCGCGGATGATAATAAATATTTCCACTCAAACTCATTGTTTGTTTTTCTGGCAAGTTATATCGCAATTGAAATTTTTGTGAAAAGTCCGAAAAAAAAAGTCCACTAAACAAGACGTCAAAGTGATCTAGTTTTAGAAAAGTATCTTCAACAAAAAGAAGGTAAATATATGACGGTAGATTTAGCGTTTACAGCTTGTATTTGGTAGATGACATTTTTCATATTTGACTCAATTAAAATAAGCAAATGGTCAAAATACGCGTTTATATTTTTATTGAGAATATGACAAAAAAGGAAAGAGTGAGAAAGACAATCAGGAAAGCGCAGATTGTATTCGCGTGAAACACAAATCGAATACAACGCACTGCATCAGCAAGACAATAAACACGTGTTTTACGACATCAAAACATATAGATTATAATACACGGATTATACAAATGATATCATACTGTTTATAAAATATCAGATATTTAATTGCTTGGCAATAAAAATAACGTTTTGGATTTGCGTTTCATCGTTGGCAAACAGATAAAACATTAAGTATATCAATGTAGATTTGGAACAGAATGTGAGAGTAAGCAATCAATTGGATTGATATTCTATCATTCTATCATCGCAATGGACACATATGATGTTGCAGAGAAACCAGAACCATCAATGAGTGCAAAGGCCACACGTAAGTTTATTTCAATACAACATTGCGTAGAGATGGTAAATAACCAGTGCTGCCATCGATATGAACCCCAAAATAAGGACGTCAGGAAAACATGATGATAAGATAAGAACGAAATGTAATAAACAAAATGTATTCATGCCAAAGCGATCCGTCCTGTCTAATCATACTTTGCAAAGTTTGCATCATAAGGATTTGCTCCAGCAGTTCTTTATTCTTAGAAACTATCTGTTCCATCTCACTTCTAAGTTGTATTTTGATTCAAAGCAATCAATGCGGTTTCAATATCATTTCTAGCAAATCAATCATTCGAATTGACCAATCTAAGTACCCGGTATAATAACCTCTACCCCTAAAACTAAACAAAAATTTAGACACATGTCAAAATAAGGATAAATAAAGTTTCTCAGAAATAAGGACAAAAATATTTTTCAAGACGAAGACATTGAAAATAAGGAAAAATCTTAGGAAAAGTACGTTATGACATCCCTATAAATAACAGTAGCCATTTTTCAGATAAATTGTTGGAGCAAATGATTAGCAACCAATGCCATACTACAAAATCCACAATCTAAGACATTTCTCAAATTTTTTCAAAACTATTTTTGTGCAATCAGAATGGCTCTCTTGGCTCTAAATACGACATTTATTTGAAACAAATATTCAAGTGAGAAATCATCAGTTTGTTGGATACTAGAAAATGATATATATATGGCGCGTTGTTCTTATATTGCTTCGGTGATGACGACAGAAAAATGACCTGCATTAAAAAGCTATTAATGAGCGACATTATCCAAATAAAAAGTACCCTTGTTTTTTTTAATATCGTCCGAGTATTGAGAGTCGATGGGTGATCACTGTTAATGTAAAACGTGATATAAGATACATCAGTAGTATATTTAATTGGTACGTGTACGGACTTCCTCACATAATTTCATAATTTTTCAGGTTGGTGTGTCGAAAAGCGATATTTGTTCATTGGAATCGTCAGTGTATTATTTATTCTTCTCATCATTGTTGCTGCTGTTACTTTACCATTGCTTTTATTCCAGGCAAGTCTGTAGAACTTTATACAGTAATTTCACGTATGTCTCGGTTATCATCAGATAAGCATTTGTCAGTGTTCTGTAACCTTTCACTGGTTAATTACAAGATATGAATTACTACTACTATATGATTACTATGGGTTTGATTTGACATTTATAAATGTATCACTAAATTATTTCTTGAAACAGGAAAACGAAAACAAGGATTCAATATTGCTTCTTCAAAGTCCTGCACGAGTTCAAAAATCAGATGTCAAAATTCCTAACGAAGTAAATGACAGTGCTGTTCCAAATTATGCTCATAACGCACCAATAACATTTTCATATTTAAACGGTAACGTAACATTGAATACCACCGTTTACGACCTAAAAATTCTGTATAATAGTCAACCAATAATTACTCCATCTCCATCAAAGCCTATTTCAACAACATCAATAAGTTTTGAAAATCCATCAATACGAGGAAGATTGTCTAATGAGTCTAACCCAGATGAAAAGATGGCTACAATATCTGAAAACAAAACAAAAACATCTACTTCAGCTTACAAATTGACAAAGCTCATTGTCGGAAAAGTTTCGCAAGATAGTACGACTATAAATGTTGAACTGGGGTCAGGTTTTATGTCGATGCCCACCACCGAGTCAGAGACCAAGTTACCAACAACCTCACTGATCACAACTCCAACTAAAAATGAAAACGTACTGAGCACCGCAAATACCAATTCGATGGAAAATGAATTATTAAATACAACAGAATCGGACACACCTGAGATGGTAACACCAATTTTGAATCAAACTACACTCTCCCTCCCCAAATCTGAAGAAGACCAAACAAAATTCGTGTCAACGTCTACTACCGAGTCAGATATCATGTTAACAAAACCGCATCAGACAACTGATATTACAGAGGAAAAAGTTTTAGACACTACTGAGAGCGATCTGGAACAAACAACTGACTATATATACGGCACATGGATGACAACTTTAGCATTTGAACAAGAAGAATCAACAAAACAAATTGACCTATCAGCCACGAGCACTACAGTTTATACAAATAAACCGGGTGAAGATGACAAAATCACAGATGAAGCACAGAGAACTTCGGACTCTAATGTGTCGAATGAAACAACAAAAGATGCTTCAATGATTCCTACGACTACACAGAGCGATTATTTTGTTGTAGAATCTTCCGAAACCAGAAGTTCAAAAAATATTCATACAACCAACGACATACCTTATTCAACTAAACCCACTTATCCTTACCTAACAACACCCTCACCCATGACTTCGAGACACTCACAAAACACCCTCTCATCAGTTACAGACGGGACTATTTCGCCGTATGTAGGTGATATCATAAAACAAATGGATAAAACAACAGAAAACTCGTCGTCCCTGCCAACGACTACGACAAGGGCCGATGATTTTACAACTACACGTAGTATTACAAAAACTATAGATTTGCGGTATGGTCCATACAGTATTACAGATAACATACCTACAACAAACCCGACTGATTCAGCTAAACCTACTAATCCATATCTTGAAACAACACCCTTACCTATGGCTTCAAGACACTTGCAAAACACCCTCGTCTCAGCTACAGATGTGAATATTGTAAACACTTCGCTGCATGTAAATGATATCAGGAAACAAATGAATAAAACAACAGAAAATTCGTCGCTCCTGCCAACGACTACGACAAGCGGTGGTGATTTTACAACTACTCGCATGGTTACCAAACCTGTAGATTTGCAGTATGGTTCATATAACATTCCAGATATCATACATACAACAATGCAGACTGATTATAATTCTGAAACGAAGCTATCTGTTAAGTTGAATGTAACGGAGACCCCTCGTGCAACGGCAGTAACTGGAACTGACAAACCGCTAAGCATTTTTCCATATATAGAAAACTATTTACGAAATCAAACAGTCGAACAAGCTACCGCCATTACTTCGTCTACAACAGCAAGTGGAAATTTCACAACCACCGATACAACAACACAACAGATAAACGTCGTTAGTTTGTTTAAAAAATTAATAAAGACTCCTACTACAACAAGCGAATGGTTAAGTATGACACCAATTCCAAACGACGCCAGAACGTCATTTTCGATGGAATATTCCCAGCTGACACAACACGATACTAAGCTACAAAATGTTACATCAACAGCTACTGATGACGCAGACGATACCCCTATTTCTACATCTGTGCCTCTCACCATAACGCAACCGATTGAGACAATAGCCAACTTTTCAACAGCTTCAAATTTGAGTCCATTCCGTTACCCATTAGGTCGAACCGAAAATTTGACCACTTTTGTTGATGGTACCACCTCCACTAATACTGCTTATGAAGAAAGCCAAGACGTGACCAGAAATATGGAATACAATATTACGACGACTGAAAAATCTACAACACTCGTTGCTTCCCCTGCAACGGAACAGTCAATAAATAACTTGGTAGTTGCAACCACTGCGACAACTAACAAACAGCGTGACAATATGTCACCAACATCAAACCTTACTTATGCGGGAGGATTTACAGGCAACACAAGCACCTCCGATCCTAAGAAACAAACGCATATAGATTCTGACCACTCTGAAAATACGCAGATATTGACTACTGCCATCAGTTCAACAAACGCATCAAAATTAATTGGGTCAGTAACGGATAATGCTACAAGTTTTCGCGATCGTCCAACAACGTCGACGGCCAAATATTTGACAACACCACAAAGTAAGTATAAGCATCTATCTTGCTCTGACAATTTGTCTCTTCCACCTTCCACTAATCGGTATTCAATCTTTCAACTTAACTGATATGGTGAACCTATTACATCTATTGACTAATGATTTCAGACTACTGTGCATTTCGATACAACGGAAATTGTTTCTGGCTTGTGCAAAAAGCATTGACTTACTTTGCGGGGAGAAAATTGTGTCTCTCTCGGGATGGAGCTCCAGCGAATATATATACTCGACAACATTATCTGATTGCTGCGAATTATATTCGTGGAGTAATATCAAATACATTTTACAGCAATATCTGGTTGGGGATGCAAATAGATTTGAAGGTATATATAATAAAATAAACCTACGCCTATTATATTTTTCCATTTGCAGGCTTGGAAGGCTTGCTTGTTTATAGGTTTTGCTCTTTCTCAAACCAGTTTGCTGAAGTTCCGCAAAAAATATTTTCCTGCACTTCATTTTTATACAATATTTCGATAATTCCGACTGATTTGTCTATTACTTACATTACACATCACATTTAGTATATAATTTTTGGAAGAGTTTGTCAAACAAATATTTAATAAACTTTATATTTTTCATTCCAAATTTTTATCTTTCATTCATTTCGTAACTAATATGTAAGCCCATAAGTCTTCCTTTCATTTCCTTGTCGTAAAAATCAAAAGTTCAAAACTAATATAGCGCACAGTGGCATTCAAGTGTCAATTTCACGATGAAGATTCTTTATTTTTTTAAGCGCAGCAGTACCTAACCTATTATTATCCATTAATAATAAATCTTTGTAGCTTTGTTGTTATTAAGTCGTGATTGCTAATAAATATTTCCAATGAATGTTTAGACAAAACGAATTATCTATATGAATTCTAATCAAAAAACATACGCTAATTGGTTTCCCGGACAACCGAGTTCAGCAACTAAGTGGAGAAGACTTTATATTCATGTCCTGAAAAATAAAACATCGAATGTACAAGGAATGGTCGTCTACAGCCCTAAAAGCATTTTGACTGGAGTACTATGTCAGAAGTAGGTTTTACATTTTGGCATTTTGCAAAGTTGGTTTAAGCTCTTTTCATTATCAATAAGTGCCTGTAGGCCTACATCAGATATGTAAACTTAACACATCACATCATCACATGGTCCTACATACAAATCAATATCTTTAAATGCTATGTCTGCTACACACCTACGTGTACTGATTAATTAATAGCTGTGTGCTATATTACTTTTCATTTTTATATTTGGTAGAACTGGAATTATTTGGGCTTCAACTAAAAATAGTCATAATATATATAGTCATAAAACCAATTCTTGATAATTATAAAGTTTTTTTTGTATTTTTGTAAATTTAAAAAAGCCACAATTTATTTTAAGAAAAATTCCAACGACAGCAAGTACAACACCTATGACGAGAACAAGTACAACAACTATGACGACACAAAGAACCAAAACTGAACCAACATCTATGTATGCAAAACTGACTTCAGTTTCGAAACGAACAAGATCTCCACGGGCCAAGCCCAAAAGGGTCAAAATAGAGACAACAACAACAAAACCAGTATTGACGCCGGTAATTCCAACCGCTAAGGTTGAAAATCAGAAAAGACTTGTACAGAGACGGGATGAAATTCAACCCACAAATGCAACCAAATTAGAACCGACGACACCACCGAAACCAAGTAAATACTTCATGCCATATGCTTATTTTGTCGCTACTTAGTTTTTACTGAACTTGCAAACCATTCGTTCAATATTTCTATCGCTGACGAAGTTTATGTGAATGCACAATGAATCCTTGCCAGCAAACGAAGTGGAGAAAATATTACCTTCGATAAGTGCCATAACCACGAGACTGCCTAACGAATAATTTGCAGATGTCCAGTCAAATACAGATAAAACAAACAAAGCAAAACAGGCATCGGCTGCTCGAAGCAATATTGTAATTTTTTCAAGACGACTTCCATATTTCACGAACCTGAAGGTTCTGTCACGATTTCTATGATAGGGGCCTATTGCATCAAGTCCAACTGGGATCAAGTTTACCCAGCATGCGTGTTTTGTTCAACTACAGTGCATTTCAACTACTTTTTAATTAATGTTTTTCCTTTTTTTACAGATTTATGTCAGTTAGAGTTCAATGGAATTTGTTACTGGTTAATTGTGAATGACGTAAGCTATGATGACGGGGAAAGGCAGTGCAAAAAATACTTTGGATCTGCCGCCAATATTTACAGTAGGAAGCATTATAATTTTGCATCAAACTATGTTCGAAAAATGATTCCGGCTTCATTGAATTCTCTTGATGTTTGGCTCGGATTGAGGATATTGTCTTCTGTAAGTTGATTCAATATCCACAGAAACTTTATGTTTTCTTTTTTAATAGTGTATATTACAATAAGTTTAAAACGTCGTTGTCTTGGATATATACCATGGTACGAAAGGATGTATATATATGTTATAAATTGACAACATCTGACAAAATACCAAATATACAACTTCAAGACAATTGAATTTTCAGTCGGACACATATGCATAAACACTTAATTAAATTCACAGATGGGGACCGTGTTTTTAACTGATTGGAAAACTGCGCCATATCTTCGATGGTTCCCAAAGCAACCAAGTCTCGAACGAGAGAAAAAAAGAATATATCTTCACGTGAAAAAGCTGAGGTCTTCCATGATGCAAGGAATGGCTAGCTATCAACCTTCGCTGAAAGTTAATGGAATTTTATGTCAAATCTCAAAACGTTCGATACCGAAAAAGTATCAGTGATAGGCTTTATAAAACCTTTCGAACTGCAGAGCAAATGTCTCATGAGATGAATGTGCTCGTATAGTTTGATCAGTTGTCGTAAGGGGCTTTTTTCATTGTTTCTCGTTGCTGCTATTTAAACAATGCTCTAATTTTCATCGATTGGTTGGGTTTAACTTTTTTACAAAGATTGGAAATTGCCAAAATTGATCAAGATGTTTATATTCTCTGATAAACTGATGATTACTCACTAACCGGGGTGGTAATTTATATTAAAATAGCAAGTCAGAGGTAAAGACAAAATTCACATACGTGGGAAACCTAGCAAAGTTTTTCAAATAACAATCGTCAAGGCTTTTTCGTGAATCTAAACTGTTATTATTAATTGTAGTATCGCTGAAGATATGCAATACCTATCTTCCCCTCTCATTTTCTTCGCGCATTTGTTTCATTTTTGTATCTTTATTGTAATTTCCGGATACCTTTTTAAAAATTGAAGTGAGTTTGAAGAAGTGAGTAGGGAAATGGGGTCTGGTATAGTTTAGTACCACATGCACTTCTAGTTGGCCTGACTCAACAATTTTTGCATATGTTAATCCTAACCCCCATCTGACTACGTCGCTAAAAAATTAGGTCATTTGGACGTCACAGTGGCGTAATAAGGCCCACCAAAGTATGCGGATGGTCGTCCAAAACTCGTCACAACGATTGCCATAGGAGAGAGATCGCCGGCGTTAGCGAGTTCGTTATCCATCGAGTTGGATGCCATTCCGGACGATCGTAAATATACTTTGGCAAGCCCCGTGACTTGATGGTGACGTCGTAGTGACGTAATTTTTGAGTGGCATAGTCAAGTGGGGGTTAGGAATAACATATGGAAAATTCGTTATGCTACGCCCACTGAAAGTAGTTGTGGTACTAAACTATACTAGACCCGGGAAATGATAATGTAACTAAAGTGGACATTTGTTAGTTAGATTAGGTAATAAGCACCTATAAATGTTGCGAAAAACAGTCCTCCTTTTCATTATAATTATTTCTTACTACTTTCAGAAAACCATGAAAAAAAATTCCAAGTATTCAGGATGTTTCTGTTTGCGTATATATTCAGGGAAGAAGTAGCTCCACATTCACAGTGACACCATGGCATTTTGAAGTGTCGTGCTCAAGCACATAAAATAGTGGATATTAGCGCATAAATACATTATAAGTTTTTTCAGTTAGGCCTCTCTGTGTAAATAATTTCTGACAGCATCTCAATGCGAAATTTGACAAATTTTATAAAATATTCGCCAGATGTACTTCTGTTATTACTGATCAGCAACTATTGCCAAATACTATAAAGCAAATCATCAATGAAATATCGTGGTATTGTAACACGCTAACCTACTTATGCCAACGGGTGGTCCATATCAGAGTTGGATCAATTACATTAATTCAGTCCAATTACAAATACTCCCTTAAATGTTTCAATTACATTACAATTACTCCGTGCAAAAAATATCAAATTACATTTAGGCTACAATTATAACATTTTGGTTTGTATTAACATTTTCACTTGCTCAAAAACTGTTGATTTGCACTTGATGAAGATTAGGCTGCGAAAAGTTTCTGACCCAAATAACTTTCCTCTTGCCGTATAAAAGTTATTCACAATTGAAAAAAACTCTTTCTGGCTGGGCTGATGTTGCTGTTAGTTCCAAATAATCCTTGGCTAAAGAAGCAAGCGTGGGAAATTCTTTCTTCTTCCAATACATCAATGGGTTTTCATCAAACTGCAAAATTTCTTACCCAAAATAGCTATCTAATTCACTTTCTGATTTTTTTGGTCTTTTCTTTTTAAATCTTCTGCCATCGCTGGGAAAAAACAGTTTGAAAAAATGACTTGATAGATGGTTGGCTATGATCAACCTTAGCCTTCATCGTGTTTTCCTGGTGTTTTCTTTTGGAGTTTATGTATTTAGGATATAGATGGGGAGAACATCTCTTCAAGTGCGTGATCAAGTTTGACGAAATCTTGGTTGAGAACTTAAGTTTCCTTTTGCAGTTGTTACAGCATGCGTCAGTGCTGCTCAAAGATTTTGAAAAACTCTGATCACAATGGTGCAGAAAGTGGTTCAACACAGGTTTCGGAAGAGTTTGTCTGATGTTCATCCATTTTCAAAATACTAAGATTCAGTCTAATTGAAAGTGTAATTGAGCCAAAATTTTAGCAAATGACAATTACAGTTACAATTACACAGAATGAAAATGCCTCCATTACATTACGACTACGATTACATAAAAAACTGTAATTAATTACATCAATTACAATTACAAATTACAATTGATCCAACTCTGGTCCATATGCAATCATTCGTTCTGATGCAGCTCCCGGATTTTATGTCAACAAATCGAACTTGTATTTAAATTGGTAGAATAGAAGATATTAAGCACGATGTAAAACATAGAATGACTGGGCAAACATATCTATGAGTTTATAACTTTACTGATTGTATTTCTACAGCTCCTGCGTTGGCCTATATTTTCATAAACACAAGCTTAATAAAAATTTTGCTAAGAAATTTCTGGCGCGCGCACGTCGTTTTTGTTTGAGGTTTTACCACAAATAGTGGCGTCGCTAAAATAAAATATTCAAAGGGAGGCGGTGGGTAATACAGGTGAACTAGGTCTGCTCAAGCCGCCGTTTAGCCACCTCCATCCCCGAGGTAATTGAAAAATAAACAAGGTAAAGCCCGAAGTAACCGTCCTCCTTTCTATGACGAAAATCCCAATAATTACAATATAAATATTATATCATATATATATTATATTGATATAATATATATATGTGTTATTTTTGGTGAACGAGCACGTGCAGTACACATTATAAACCCCATTATCGAGGCATTTCTGTTACATGATTTGTTTGTTTCATAGAGTGTAGTCAGACTGCCGAAATAAATTGTATATATTATTTTGTAACGGTATGGCATGCAGGGCAGTGTGCGAATCCTCAAACCTCAATAGGTTTAAATACAGAAATACGGTACTTTGTACCAGGAGTGATAAAAAATCATGTTACCTATTTTATGAAGTAGTTATTTCTGAAAATCTGGTATTCTGAAATGTAGATCACTACAGTAAGTAGATAGAGGAGTTCATTGTTCCAAACCTTCCTAACTTTTTTTGCAGATGGAAAGTACTCTTGTCTGTAGGTTCTGTTAAGTGTTAATTATAACAAATTGCTAATTTCTGTGAAAGGTATTATACAACCTAAAATCATCAGTATCATAATCTTGCTAGCTTATGTGATGTGCAAGATTGGTTTTATTCAACCCTCATATCGTTACCAACGCATCTCGATATTGCCCATGATTATCAATATTACTTTCTGGTCGATGGCATAATGAATCCAATTGTAAAGCAGAAGCGGACAGTACAAGAGAAATTAAACAATGTGCTTCATGCATTGGTCATCGCATTGATTCACCTACAAAGTTAAAAAAAAAAAGCATTTTCTTACAGCATTTAAAAGCAATAAAATATGAATTAGATGTTTTCACAAAAAATCATATTCAGTTGCAAAAGCATGTAAAAGCCATTGAAGCAGTGTTAAAGACCTTAAGCATACTATCGTTTTCTAATCGTTTCCGAGTTACTCTTAGCGCCACGTCAATGATGAAGTTTTTCTGAATAGAAATAATTCGGCAAATTACATCGTTTTGCTGTACACCGGTTGTGCTTTATTTATCTGCGACATGAATATACCTGGTGGCAATCATGCGCTACCCTTGAGTGATGATACTATATAGGCCTATAGGGGTATGGGTGTCCCTATCTGCGTGTTCGCACCCTCGTGTTAACATACGTTAACGGAGTAGAACCCCACTGACTCCATCAGAGGTCAATAAGCACACAATGTATTGTAATGCCAAATGTTGGTATATATATTGTAAATATATATGCATGATCGAATTGAATCTAAACAGATATATTGAAATATACACTTAAACCTTAATACCAGTTAAACTGTTGCAATCCAAAGCCGTGAGTAATGCAAAAACATGAAAAACACTATATCCTGAAGTTCCTCAACTCCCGAATAAAGACCGGAAACACGTGACAACTTTCTCGAAACAAAAAACTGTTGACAACAAAGAAGCATTACTAAGACTTGTCGGATAATCATAATCAGGGAAAATAGGGCACTGACCTATTCATTGAATTCACATACTATTAATACAAAGGGGTTAAATAACATTAAAATCCATAGTTACATTGCACATTCGCTACAATACCATATACTATGAATGGGGAGAATACTTAAGTTTAAAAGGTCAATGTGCGATTTTTTACGCCTATGTGGTATGAACCATTCAAGGGGGAGAGTGTCTTTAGTAGACTATGGCTATTCTAGCAAAAAATATGACCGTACCCGTTTTGGGGAAATGTGATAATGTTATGTATCAAATTCTCTTAAGGTACTCTTTACGTTTCTTGTTCTGTTCTTATACTATTTTCTAATTCCAAATACAGCTAAAAGTGATAAGAATTTTAAAAAAACTTAGTAAAAAGCATTTCAACAAAACGTAGCATGATTGTATTTTTGCCAGAAGATAAGAAAGGTATGAAAGTACATTGTAAATATATATAATAATCTATGGAAAGAATCATTGTTACCATGTCATGGATTGTCCAAATTGGATTAAAAAAATAATAGAATAATATGGTATCCTGGGGTGGAGAAAGGGAAGACTATGTTTGATTTGGTGCCAACATCATTCGAAAGAAATTGCCCAGCATGCTACTTTAATTAACAAAATGCATTGTTCCTATTGTTTGCTGCATTCACATTTTATTGTACTTCAATATCTTGAACCTAAACTGCTGTTCTTTTGTCTTTGTCTAATTAAGCATGATAATAGAATTAGAATGGTGAGCTAATTATTAAATCAGTCCACAGTTCCATATTGAATCCGAGTGAAGTAGCCTGTGGAGTTGTTAATATTGCTATCTAGTTTGTGGTGTCTGATGATCTTGACGATTTCTTGATAGTTGTTCCAATCCAAATAATCTATAATTGATAGTTGTCCTTCTCATTGTTGAATTCACCTTAAAAAAAACAATCTCCGAAACAATGATGATAATATATATTGTTTAAGTTTGGAACAAAATTCTAAGTTTGATATTGATTTTTTGATGTCATTATTTTTTTTATTTCTGATGTTTGAATTTGGGTTTGCTTGAAACGGACTGTTTAGGCTTGACGAAAGTTGTCCAATATAGCAAGAAAACATGGTACCTCCAACTCTTCCGTGGCGTATAATGCATTTCTCGTGGTATTTGACAGAACTAATCATGTACGTCGATTTTCGCCTGATCTTGATACATTTCTTATCAAGTACGAGTCGCTGATAAATACCAACCCACTGTACAGTGTTAACTGTGGCTGGTCTTCAATTTGGGTAAGTCGTAGGTGAATAATAAGGCCAATGTATCAATCGGAGGCAAACATTGACGACCACAAAACATCAACCAAGGTGGCTTACCATATCTTATTGCCTGACTCTATATGTTTCGTGGCGATCTCAATATCATTGCGTTGCCTGGCTCTGTAGTACCCGAGCTGTATATAAATAGAACTAGAGCTACAGTGCGCTTCTCTCCTGTTTTCCGTGATCATCCGAAGATCCCGTTTTTTACTTTGGTAAACATCTCTTTCGTGGCGGTTATTGCGTTTTTATGATCATTCAAGAACAATTATTTCCACTTACCGGTATATCTGTTTTGTAATCGCCCAAACAACCACATTTTCAAGCAAGAGATCCACACGAAGTTTCGACTGTCTATAAACTAACTGAAACATATTTACATACAAATGTGATTGAGGCAAATATATACAGAAAATGGTAATTTTCCAAATAAAGTTATTTCCAGTTTAGAATATATTCTATATTCAAAAATATTCTTTCAGAATATATTCTGAATATTTAGGTGTTCGATTTTGACCACCCGTTGGTATACAATAAACATCGGAAGACTTAAAGTTAGACGATGGTAAAACTTCCCCTTAAAATCACACTACATTGAAATAGCATCGACATCCAGCTGGATCAAATCGAAAGCTTGTAAATCTAGGCTCAGCTGGAAGCTTTTGGTACCATCAGCGCATGACACATTGGATGTGGTAGGGCTAGACACATATTGATGTGATTTTGCCTATTTGACAAAAACTATAAAATCAAGTTTTTCTTCTTAAGGTGAGGACTAAACTTTCAATCGACAAACCTATCAACAAATTTTCGGAACAGCAATGTGTTCTTCTGTTTCGGTAGTGGTGGCTAATATGGTTATGGAAGGCGTAGAAGATAGAGCTTTAAGTCTTTCCCCAATAGTCCAAGAATTTGGGAAAGGTATGTTGATGATACCTTTAACATTATCAATCGCTATCTGAATTTTAATTCCAACTACCCGATAAGCAATAAACGTTCCGTTTTCAGTAGCCTTAGAAATCGCGCAAAGAAAGAAAAATCAAGAAAGCAACTTTATTAAAAAGACCTTAAGACAAAATGGATATTCAATGAAGATGTTCACAAGAAATCACAGGAACCTTCAAAAATCGAATGAGAAACTGATGTTAAAGTATGTTGACGAACTTAGTGAAAAAATACGAAGAATTTTAGAAGACGTAAGAATTAAAGTTAGTTTCAAACCACAAAATACAATAGGCCAATTGCTTTCAAATGTCAGAGATCGCCCATGTCCTAATCAGAAAAACGGCGTGGTATATGCAATCCCATGCAGTAATTGTTCTTCAATTTACATTGGAGAAACGAAACGAAGTCTCGAAACTCGAAGAAAGGAACATCAGCGAGATGTAAAACAAAAGAAACCTGAAAAGTCGGCCCTTTTGAAACATGCCTTTCTACAGATCATAGCATCGATTGGGAAACAGCAGGATATTGGATATGAAATTCACTACAGGAAAAGACTATTTCTTGAACCATACCTTCATTAACAAAGAGAAAAATTCAATGAATGATAAAAAAGTTCCCGCATGTGAATAAGTCTTTGTTTAGATAGTCCCAATACTTGTTTGAACTTGCGCTAATTCACTTGGATCTATTATATCATATTATCCCCTTTTTTCAGTTTTACGCCGTGTTAATTTTTTTCCTTTTTTTATGCTCTATATATTTACGGTAGTGTGCTATCAATATTGTGCCCTGATGAAGTTTATAGTCTAAATAGGAATTCGAAATGTCGGCGAATTTCATCGTTTGGCGCTCCGGAAGTATTCGTACCAAGATGACGCACAACCTGAACAACCCTAACCCGATACACATACTATGTTCAGGTTGTGCGCCATCTTGGTACGAACATTTCAGAGCACTTTATTTCGTGTTGTGTTGGTCTATTTATAGATGTTGTCTTGTCTGTCTTACAAACTGCTTTGTTCAAACAGTTATGTATACTCCGCCCTTACCCCGGTTACCAACGTCCTGCCATATTATAAGTACAGTATTTGATTCAACGTTTTATTTTTAATTTTTAATACTTATCAATAGGGGTAGCCTACATGACGCACATTTGTGTTTTAGGCCAGTATGGTCTTGTCTTATGCATACATCCCGTCTTCAATATTGATATATATAATTGTAAACTCTTTTATATTGCTTTTAGCGTGAATATATACTAGTACGAGGCGAATAAAAACATACATACAGGTACATACAAGTCTATCTTCAAAACGAGAGAATGCAATTGATCCTGCAAAATTAAGTGAGATTTATCTTATATATTCATTCGAACCTGTTAGCTAGAGTGATAGCCAAAGTCACTTTGCTGCTAGCCAACGCAGCGTAATCAGATTCAGCAGTGCTTAGGCGAGGAGGCGCAGTTCTTACCACTTCATGGCAGCTCCTGTCACGAACGAACCGCGGCAGCTCTTGCCATGGTTTTATAGCGCTATTCAGTATTCAGTAATCAGTATTAACGGTATATTCACAAATTAATGTACCAGATTTTAATTGATCATGTGGAATTATATCTACTTAAACCCTAACCCTAACCCCAAATCCATCAAAACTGTATCCATAAGAAAAACGTTCCAACTTACCCAATATTTGTCACCATAAGGGACAGCCCTGTCTTTACGGCCCACCTGCCGCAAAATTTTACCTGCCATTGGTTTTCAATTTGCTGCCTCGGTAACGGCAGTTAACCATGGCTCGACATTGGTTTTGCGGCAGCTGCAGACGCCACAGAATACTTAAAACTGCACTTGTAGGCGAGCGTATTCCTAACGCGATCAGGCGATGAGGAAGTAAAGTGTGGAATTCTAATTCAACTGTTGGCAGATACCGGTACTGCAAATGCTACCGGTATTACAGTATGATTGATTGATTACCTTCACTCCAAATTCTACTAAAGTAATAGATGAGTATTCAAACAATACATTCACATATTTTTAGTTTGCTAATTTCTAGGCCCAATCCTCGGTTAACAAAGTTTGTGTGTTTTGTGAGTGTGTGCTGGTAATTTCCCATGTTTTAAACTAGTTTTGCTCGCTTTCCAGAGTTTATAATTCGTGTGTATCATGGAGTTTTCAAAATAAGCCATCTATCTAAATGTTATTTGTATTTTATGTATTGCAGTGATTCTGTGAATAAATAGGCTACTGAATCTAACCAAACAATTTAATGAATGGTTTTCGGAGTCTACGTGAACAATAGGCTACAGAATACTGATAGCAGTGTCAGTACTGCATCTTGATTTGTAACCAGAAACAGATTAATAAATACCAAGTAACAAAATTTGTGGAAAATTCTGATTTTTAAAATGGGAGGAATTTATCTGAAGGAAAATTTGGAAGATCTTTTGAGTGGAAAATATGTTTTGCTGCTCGGTGATTCCGGTAAATAGTTTACTTTTTGTTTTTCCATGATGACATTATGTTGTTTGATTGCTTTTGAACCCATATTCATACTCTTCTCTGGTATTCCAGTATTCTGATATGCATTATTTTCTGGTTCTAATTGGGCCTAGATTTTATAGACAGATTTGATTGTCAAGCACTCAGTTATTGAGTTGGAGATTTTCATTGGATTTATTTTTGTCTATTTTCAGTAATGAATGAGGTTTTCACTCTGGCAGTCTGGTGTTATTTTATGATATAGGAAGCGAAAATCTTTTTCTTTATTAAACATATTTGATTATTATTTCAGTGCAAAGGAGTGTCTATAAAGATCTCGTGGTTCTATGTCACGGTAATAGGTTTATGGCACAGAGTGAGCTGCGACAAAAGGTGATAAATTTATTAACGAATAATAAGTTTCCCAATCCTTCCTGGCCAAATAGATTATACAGTTATTCATATTCATGTAAATGTGTGCCTTAGATGAGTGATAATCTATCTATATCACTCCTAAATTTGCCATTCATTATTCAGTTATTGTTTTTTTTACTATTAGACATTGCACTGAAACTGAATTTATATGGTTGTGCATGTATCATTTAGATTGAAGATTTGAATGCCTTCATATCTTATCAACAACTTGTTATGAATAGACTCACAATATATGCGTTATGTCAAAATATCTAATTATAGGCATTGCATTTTCATACGTTCTAAAATGAGCTGTAATTGATGCAGAAGTCATAAATTACTCTGAAAGCATAATGTGTATAAAAGCCATCATTGGATCAGATTCATTAAGTTTAACTGTTTTTTTTTTCAAATAGGGTGAAGACAGCTTTTTGGGTGACGAACTCATTCATCGAAGTGAATTGACCAATGGTGTACATTATAGAGAAGAAAGGGAATATAAGAATAGGAAATTTCATTTTAAGTATGTTGAATCATACTGGGTAACAAAGCAAAATAAGGCTTTTGCAAGTTTCTAACCTAAATAGTCGAAACAATACATTTTATATGAGAATATATATTTCATGAACAAATCTTGAAGTTCGTGTTGTTCTTTATATTAATATTTTTGTCATGTTGGGTTTCAATGGCCCACCGTAACTATTAGTTATCAGGCTCTCGATTTACACAGGCACATACGAAGACCTTTTTATAGCACTCCACATTTATTACAACCTTGAGTATTAAGAATAGTACTTAATAAATTTATGCAAATTAAATTGGAATCATGCTGTATTGTACATTAATAGTGTGCATTTTTCCCATAACTCCCATGATATTCTGTGTTTATAATTCTACAACAATGACCTCATGTTCACACATTGTCTTTATCTTGCAAAAGCGAAATGGTTTTGACTCCTTAAATTCTATGATAAGAATTCCACCAGAACACTGGGAAATTTGTCACATATCTATGTTTAGTAGCAATTATTGTATATCATACATTACCTATGCTTAAACTTAATTTTTTAAAATAATAAACATTTACACCAACAGTTTAAGTACAAAGGAAATAGCAGAGAGATAAAAATTTTCTGTATACTGTTTGAGGCTTTGACCACTAATAATGATGATTTCTATAAAGTTTGCATTCACAGCAAAGGGTCAAATTTTTTTGGTGTAACATACCATGTGTTTAATTGTGCTACTTGCACATGGGAAACTTTTTCGTTTTACAAACATCAAGACCTATAATGAATATTAAATTATTTTTTCAAATGACATATATCATGGCATGTATATTTTATCGAACTAATTCACACTTTTATTCAAGACCATCTCAACAGGTTTCTACAGCATTCTTTAATCGATGATCGATCTAATATACGGGGAGGTTGGTGAATGCATTTTACATTATTCTTTTTTTTCTTTTTCAGGTTTCATTTTCTTACCCGTGTATATAATAAATATGTGGAATCTATTTTGAAAGATATTGAGAAAGGGAGAACGGTTTGCCCTGACGTTTTGGTTCTCAATTCATGTTTATGGGACATCAGTAGGTAGTTGGATTTAATTAGTTTTTGTTTTATCTGTTTCCGATTTCAATTTTGAGCAATTCTGAAAACAATTAACTGGCTATCTAACCCCATACCCGACATGGACTGGTAAACGGACGAGGGGGTGTGGTTCGCCATATGATTAAGTTGTCTTATAGGCTTTCCTTTCCCCCTGGATGTAAATCTTCATCCAAATTGGCATTACAATACATTATGTGCTTTTTGTCAGTAGGGTTCTACTTCGTTAACGTGTGTTAAATAACACGGTAGTGCGAGCACACAGATAGGGACACCCATCCTACAAGCCAATAGTATAAGTATCATCACTCAAAGGTGTTGTATTTACATATATTTTTTAATTTTTTTCATGTATACATCCAGTGTATTTCGTGTTGTGTTGGGTCTCTATTTATAAATGTTTTGGTAATGCTTCGGAATCATTTTGTGGATCTTAGCTCACTTGAAGTTACCTAATACTCGTCAATCCAAGATATTTATTATAGCTGGACCCTTTCTGTGATTATAGTAAGGATCAAATGAATATTTGTATTTTTAAGAATAAGCTGGCTTGTTGTTTCTCATCTGCTGATACCGATAGGTTTAATTCAAATATCAAAAAATATATCAATTTATTTCTTTCATTTGGGTTGATGGTTTGGTTTATTTGTTTTATTATTTTGAGAATGATTTCAGTTCTTGAAATTATTGTTTACAGCAGCATTTATAATGATTATGGATTGATTTTTAGGTATGGCGACAATTCAATGAATGAATACAGAGAGAATATTGAAAAATTATGCAAACGCTTGAAGGAAATGTTACCACATGACACATTGGTTATTTGGAGAACTGCATTACCAGTATGATAATATATTGTATATAGTTAATTACCGGTATGTTCAAAACAAATTCCAAAATAAATCTGATAATTATTTTCTGTTAAATTAACATTCCATTGGCAGCCTCACTGTGATATGCTTGGTGATTTCTATATTAAATGGATATATTCAATTTGAAATTGAATTGGGACCATATGCCTGTCCCTATTTCAACTGTAATGAATTTGAAACTATACAAACTATATGAATGTGTGCAAGGTCTGGATAGCAGATCCTTATTTGGTGTGGTATTCTTGGCATGTTACTGAGGAGGATATCCATATAATATAATTGGATAACATTACAGCTTGGTTTGTCACATACCCAACACCGCTTTGATATGACCTGTATACGGGAAGCATGCATGATAAATGGGCCATGCTTATTTAGTAGCTATTTCTATCCACTCAGATAAAATAAACCTTGCATTTTTTGTTGACAGGTTAGTGAAAACATGAAGGGAGGATTTTAACACCAGATGCTGAAAAGTTCAGAGATTTATTGAGATTAGACATTCTCAGAGGAAACTATTTCGCTTATAACATTGTTAGTCGTTACAGTTTTGATGTTTTAGATATGCATTTTCATTTCCGACATCAACTTCACAGGTAATCAGAATTGTTATTGTTAATTATTATCCGTATAATATATTTGTCATAATGGTAATTAACTTCATTCACTGGCTAACAACCTTTCTCTAATTCATGTATAAGATAAACATCTTTGTATATTCTGTATCATTGTAAAAGAACTGGGTGACCCAAAAAACAGAACCAATAAATTTTATGACTATTTCTCCGAGAACTAGGTAGATTATTTAATTCTATCTACACTTAAATTTCTGTTTGTGTATGATTGTACCCAAACGTTTCGGAAATCTAGACGTTTTGCACAAAAATTATCGTATGTTCGCTCTAGAATATATTCCAAATGCCCTCCTCGACGTTGGAGACAGACTTGCATTTTTTGTGCAAAATTGGCAATCACGTGCACAATTGATCAAAATTTGATCATGTGAAATTTCCCACAACTGTGTTGTTTTCATGACCGTCAATTAAACTCTTATTGCTTGGGCCTATGGTATCATTGTTCTTCACTTTCAAATGAGCATGGCACATTGCCTTTCTCACATTACTCATGTTCAGACACAAAGATAGTCATATATGAACACAGAATAGACCTAGCTCTTATTTAAACCAATGAATAATTTGCTCACGTACTCTCAGCTTTTAATTTTCTAAAGTATATTGTTTGAACAAACACGAAGCTTAATAATGATGGTCTTACATAAGTTGTGGGTGGAAACATATATGTTTTTTAATCATGAAACACAATGTCTTTATTAATAGACGAGCTAATGATGGTGTCCATTGGAATATGTATGCTCATAGACGAATGACTAATCTTTTGTTGAGTCATATATCACGAGCATGGGATAAGGAATTACCTTTATTGCCATGGGCAGACAATTCAAGAATAGAATTCGAATTTGATGGTAAGTTCTGTTCTTGTTGAAGGAGAATTAATAATGTTAACTTTGAAAAACTTCATATCTAAGATTTCTAATTGGCATGTGATTTTTTACTTATCGATCTTAAGATCGGTAAGTATGTTGATAGGTATTTGTCTGTTTGTTTGCTTGTTTGTTTGTCTGCTAGATACACGCGATATCTCACGAAAGCGAGGTTGAATCTGCTTCAAATTTTGCATGTGCATTCATCATATCTCGGATCAGGAGCCTATTGATTTTGGATGAATTATGTCGTATAATTAGCGAGTTATTATTTAATTAGTGATGAAGAGATCTGGATTTTTACAAAGCGAGAGATTTTCGAGACGCGCTGAATGTGTGTGTGCGTGTCCGATGCGCAAGTTTTCCCGCTAGTGAGTCAGAGCGAAGGATACACACCGCTAGATCGTATCTCGTGATTAATCTTTAAGCATTGTCCATATCTCTCTTGTAACTTTGACGTCGTCGCGATGCGCAAGTTTCCTTCGCGAAATTTTCCATGCTATTGAGTTAGAGCGAAGGATACATGCCGCGAGATCGTACCTCGTTACTTATAATTACTCTTTAAAGTTTAAGCAATGTCCATATCCCACTATCAGGTTCGGGGTTTCAGAATTCCTCACCAAAATATCGCTAGGCTGTGTTTGAATAGCCGTCGCAACCCGGGTTAGCGCCGATGTATTTGACACAAAATATAGGATTGGTAAATAGGCTATTGGCTGGAAACTAATCAAACAATCCAGTTCGGATTTGCAGAATTCTTCATAAAAGTATTTCCTCGAGTAGTATTTCGACGACGACATGGGGAGTTGGCTATTGTTTCCTCCATTTTTGATATTGGCTGAAAACTATTCAAAACAATCCAGTTTGGGTTTGCAGAATTTTTCGAATCGAAACCGTAGTTTCTGTTTTGGGGCATCCCCTAACTTTCGATCGATAAGTCTTCGGTCTCTGACCGATATTCTCGTCTTTTATATTGGGAAAGAGGAAAATGGCACGAGAGACTAATCATCACGGGGAAACATGACCATTGTTAAATTTATAGTTGCTTACCCATCATGGGATGGTATCATTACTGATACAAAGCATTTGAAAATGCACAGTGTGTCATTAGCTCATTTTAGGCGCTCCAGAAGTATGTGTACCAATATGGAGGAAACTAATTTTGTTCACCTGCTTTACATCAAGTTGCGTAAAGAGATGGAAGCCTATGGGCAGGGGGTATATATTCATTTGGCTAACACAGACAGTCCCCAAGCTCGTAATAGAACTAAATTAAGGAAAATCGGAATAAAATTATGGCCTAACCCTAACCTGGTACACATACTACAGGAGGAGCTCATTTTTGTGAATGTTAGCACTATTCTATGCTGTACTAATATCCATGATACTTTGATGGAAATGTATACAGGTTGAATATTGATAAATTAAACAAAACGACTTATTTAATGGTCAATTATATTGGAGTATTTTATTGTACAGATATTGAAATGAATACAACAAAAGTACTCAAGCAAGCATATGAACCAATTTCTGGATGGCGACGTTCTTTACCACCTCTGATGGAAATTCCTCCTAAAATGCGAAACAGAAATAGTGGAATGACAAATGCCTTGTCAAATGTACCAATTTATTCTCAAAAAGATTATTCGAACATGTACTCTACACCTGCAGAAGAAGATTATGATGCGGTAAGATCACAAAAACACATTCTTCAAATTGTTTTTTTTTCAATATAAAGTAATGTAGCCATTGAAAATTCATGATTTCTGCCGTTTCAAATTTCCTTAAGAGCAAATTTTGCTAATAATTGTTAAAACTTTGTCTTTTTGCACATTGTAGTCTGATGGTGGAATGTACCAGTTGCTGACTCAGGATCCAATATTTGATCGATCTCACAGGCTTCCAACATCGCCATATCCTGCACATCACCCGTTTCATACTGTCAGTAGGCCACACGGACATCTATCAGAGCATGTAAGTATAGTTTGGCTAACCTAGAATACATGGTACTCTTGTAGTGTGTGTTTAATGTTAGGGTTAGGCCATAATTTTATTCTGATTTTCCTGATTTTAGTTCTATTACGAGTTTGGGTACCATCTGTGGTAGCCAAGTGAATATACCCCCTGCCCATAGGCTTCCGTCCCTTGACACAACTTAATGTAAAGTGGGCGAACAAAATTAGTTGCCTCCATGTTGGTACGTGGAGTGCCGTAATTTTTTACTTGAAAGTACTGAACATTTTGAATAGATGATTAGGTTTGGAAGTCCCTAGTTGCTTCTCTTCCTCAAATAATAATTTTTTATTGCTGTTGTATAGAATCCTAACTTGGAAGTTGGTCCCATGCGACATGTAAAAAAGTGGTCATCTAGGAATGCAAATGCTATAAGACAACAAGGAAATGCTACTGACAGAATAAAGATGCGAATTCAGAAGGATAGAATGCAGGCCAGGAGATTACCACCATCTCGAAATATATCAGAAAAATATTATGGTTTGTTGATTTTTCTGGGCTTCAGTTAGTGGGAAAGTTGACACCAACATAGTGCTTTGTGAATTTAGGACATACAACTAATTGGTTGTAGACTAACAACCAGTTAAGGCAGTGGTTCTGAAACTTTTCCAAGCTGCGCCCCCTTTCTAGAATTTGTTTTGTGCCTCACTTTTGAAATAAATAGCGAACCATAAGCTACAAGTAACAAATAGTAAGGCGAAAGTGTGTTTTATTCAAAAACACATCAAGAATGCGTGGATGGAGCGTGAAATGCAAATTTTCAAAATAAGGGCGTGCAAGATCAAATCCAACAAATAATTTTATTTTCAATTAGCTTCATTCCCCCCTCTAAAATTTTCCATGCCACGCCTTGTGGGGCACGATCCGTCCTTTGTGAACCACGGAGTGATTGTATTTGACTCAATATTAATAAACCTCTTCCTAGATTTTGTGTCAAAATCTTGTTCGGTTTTCATGTTTTTATTTTCAATCATTTGCTACTTGGTCCAGTAATCAGATAATGCTGTTTCCTTTTAGAGATTTGGTAGCATGGATGAAATATCATAATTTGAAAAAGTTTAACAATTTATATTTTATTTTCTATGAATAATAGAGTCTCCTCGAGCTTCTCGACATATCCGCCGGAGCCGACCTGAACCGTTGCCTAGGCAGTACAGAGGCAGTTACGAAAATCACTGGTCTCAGTTTTCCCGACATCATCCTCAATATACGTCTTATGATGACAGATTTCAACAGGATACCTTATTTTGACTATCTATTAGTCACTATCAAAAAAGTAAGTATGCCTATTTCGCAGAATTCTCAAATTCTGTTAAGGTTACTAAAAATCCTAATTGTTTCGAGGGTGATTGGGAAACTGTAAATATAAAAAATGGTGATTTTGCAAATGGTGATATTCATTTATTTACATATGTTTGGCATTTGATACAAAAAACTGAAAATGATGTAATAATAACAAAAGTGAAAAACAACTTCTTTTCAAGCGCCTGCGTTTGCGTTATGTTAGGAATTGTGATGTACTATTTTGGTATTTCATGGGAATTGTCATCTGCGAATGAATTTGTAGAATTCTTTAACGTATTTCATTTGCAACAAAATCATGATGAAATCTGCTCAATAAAATGTACATAATTTTGCATAAGTCATAATTTTGTTGCAAGAATAAAACGGGAATAACAGTACTTTTATGTGTGAAATATTATTTTCGTTGTGTTCAGTGTGTTAGTGAAATGTATACATGCTCTGTTATTATTCATCCAATGGTGGTATTTTTGAAATGCTTGCATATGATGTGATTGTATATGATTCTACTCTTCAAAATTTAAGAAGAAAAAAAGGTTCACTTACTGTTGTTGAATTTTGTGAAAACTTTTTTTTTATGTATTTTTTTCGACTCACCCATGACATGTAAAAATTTTGTTTGCTACATAAATTAGGGTGCATTGACTGCATGGAGTTTTTGCAAAAATCTACTGTGAACAAGTTTGTATCTATTTCTGTAACCAATTCCACAGCGGTTTGGTGCAAATTTCCAAAGCTGCAGACCTATAATTCTTATTACTTACAATTATTCTGATTTATAAAATTGTGCAACATTTTGTATTGCTAAGAAGCATTCAATCTCCTTACGATATGTATTTGGTCAGACCGCAGTGCCTTAAATTTAATTGTACATAGCTAGCCCTCATGTAAATTGCAGACAGTGTAAAAAAAAAATTTCACTTCAATTCTTCATTCTGTTTTTTTTTTCTAATTATTATCACCATAACCAATACTTAATTTAAACAGTGATGCATCTGTCAATATTCACTGCAATTTTTATATGTTCTTTATGCAACTTGCTGTTTTCGTTGGACCATTCAAACTCCTGGTATTCAGAATAAATCGTGTCACAGCGATTTGTTCACAGTAGCATAGCAGTTGCTTGAGATTCAAAATTTATGACCGAAAGGAATTGGCGATCTATAAAATGGTTGCCCGGTATACCTTTCTATGTGTACATATTTCAGTGTTTTCTTATATCTGTATTTCTTCCTTGCCCTATTTCATTTTGTATGCAATATCTGCTCATTTCCTTATCTTTAATCTGATTTTCTGGAGCAAGGGTGCTACTCCCAACATTGCATTTTCATTGTGCTAAACTGGATCTTCACCCTTAATTTTCCTCCCCATTTCTATTTTTGAATAAAGCTTGTCTGATATGTGTATGAATATGCTCTCCCGCTGACCGTTGGGGCGCGATGGCCAGGTAGGTAGAGTAATGCACCATATTTGTTTTCTATGTTGGCGCTGCGATGAAAGATTTTTTTTTTCGCTTACATGTTTGCCCCTAACGATTAAATATACCAATTGTTCTCAACCTGTTTGCTACATTACTCCCTTTGCCTATTTAAAAATTTAAACGTTTTCAATATTCAATAAGTTATTAGCTAGTGGTATGTGCAACTAACACGCTGTCTTATGTACAGTTATTAGATTAGTTTATAATGTATGCAAACAATAATTCTCATACATGTTTTATTCTGCATTGATCGTACACAAAGGTAGTGTTTGTAATGATACGTAGAAATATTACGTAAGACGAAAATATGAAGCGTGTTAAATATCATTTACATTATCCTTTGCACGGTGAAGTATCGTAAAAACGGAATAAACGGATAAGAAATATAATCTCTACCCAATTTAAGCTATCATTGAATAATGATTGAAATTTGCATCGTAAAAAATTATTTATACCATATATATATATGTTTAAACATCCGATCCTGCTGTGCATTCAGTAGCTAATTCGGCCAAATTTCGAATTGAATGCAAAAAAACGCAGCTGTTAATCGCTTGGCAATATATTACCACTTAATTCGGTGTCGGACAAAGCGAAGTTCGGATTGAATGTTTTGTAGCTCGGAGGTATTCAAGATATCTTCGTCAAAGTTTTTGAGAAGGAATGAATACTTCGGTAAAGTGTAAATTTGGGCAACTGTCGAAATTATCCGAGTTCATTAATCCAAAAAAAAGAATCAAATTTATTTTGTGGTCATTGTATTTCCATAAAAAAAAACGTAAAACGGCATTTATTTTATAAAACAATGTTACGGGTACTGGTTTTGAGTTTAGTCAATAAAGTATACAGCACTACTTGATCCATACATTAGTCACGCAAGCTTATAAGGCGCTATAATATATATAAGGCAAGCGATCGATTTTTGAGGAAAAAAGATTTAGCTCAAATTGGATTATTAGGAATAGGTTCCCCAGCGACCTCGAATCGTCGCACTTTTCTGCATGGGAAGTCTGCTGCATATATATGTATTATTCTAAGTCAAAGAAAATTGGCGCCGATTTCTGTATTATTTACCAATTTCTGTCCCAGAACTTCGAAAAGAAAACGAAATCATATAACCATGTGCATAATTTGAATATTCTTGTAAACGTCATATTCGCACGACAGATTGTTGTCGTTTTTACTGATTTGTGATGTGATTATTACACGATCGGTCGGAGTAAAATTACTTTTGTTACGCAAATACAGGTATTTAATATTTGTTATATTCTTTACATTATTTTGTCGCCGATCCGCGAAGATATTGGGAACCATTGGTAAAGTGCAGGGCTACTCAACTGGCGGACCGCGGTCCGAATCCGGACCTTCCGAGTATTTGATTCGGACCGCAACTAATTTTTTAGTTGATATCCTTGACCCCACTTTTGCAGTTTCCTTTTATAAAATCACTTTTATAATTTTGAATATTTTTTACATGAAAAGAACTATAACCCCATAATAAACAATCTTGATTAGCTAATAATCATTAGTCAGTCGAGAAGGTGCGCGTTGGATGCGGAAATATAATTTGTGGAAAGACCGGACCCAAATAATTTTGAAGTTTTGTTTGCGGATCTTGGGTAAAAATAGGTGAGTAGTCATGGTATAGTGCAGGGTGATTCAAGGTTGTCAGCTTCGGGGGCCACAAAATTTTTTTTGCATTGCTCGCGGGCCAATAATAGGTAAACAGTGCAACCACCCACTTTTGTTGGGCAGACACATTGACACTGTTTGTTATTTATTAAGCTAAACATGCAGAAACTATCAAAAAACTCACTGAAACGTGCGAAAGTCTTTGCTATATCTACATTTAGTGTAAGATTTCAAGTTCTTCCGCAAATGTAAGTGATTTCGAACATCGATAAGATTCTCAAAAAAATGCTCATTGCTCCTAAGATTATGCCGTTTTAGATTATATTATTTTATCACCGACACAACTTGCAGACATATTGAGCAAGCATTGTGGCGTTTTACCTCCCATATCCAGTTAAATATATATCTGCTTGAATTGGTCAGCTTTCTTTTCAAACACAGTTAACAAACATGTTTACAAAATATCTTACAAATGTGTAGGTATTTGTTCAAAGAGAATTGTTTTGAAACAATTGTTTTAAATCAATTTTTTTGTATTAAACAGGTTAAAGAAAAATGGATTTAAAAACGTGCCAAGAGCTTATTGTTATCGATAACCCTTAGAAACAACACAAATATCGATGACTTGCCCACACACGCCTTCTCAAGCTGTAGTTCAATACGTCCGCAAATGTGGTTTGCGCAAGAAGACGCAACCGATAAAAGGCTTTACGTGAACCACTCTGCGACGAAACAACCTTGCGAAAATTGAAATACAGCCGAATAAACGAGTTTGTATAACTTTGAAATATTCTATTCCTCTAACCTCAAAAACAAAGTATGTTAATTTAAATTAACCGAACAGTTTTAAACGTAATACAGTAATGCCTTCATTTTATGAAAAAAAAGTCAATACATAAACTCGAAGTCCCTAATATAACGCCTTATTTTTTTTCTTCTGAAAATGTAAAAATACAATCTTCAAATTGTTAATATGCTAAATATTATGATATAAATACTCTGAAAGCGGCTTACAATGCGATGCAATCTCGAATAAAACTAAAAATATAATTCTGCCAATAACAGGTTAGCTGTTACGTCTTTGTATCACATGGTATTACAATTAGCACAGCCTAGGCCAGAGTGTCTCATCGTCCAAATCCGTAGGTTGCCGCCGATCTTAGTATATTTCTCATTATCGTAACGCACTTGTTCGGCTCAAAGCTGCCCTTGAGCTACTGCTCGTGAGCTATATGTTTCATAATTTTTCTTACCTAAAACGTCTCTCTGATATCTCGGATAAACATTTCTGTTAAAGTCTTTTGATTTTGGAGTGAGTACAAATTTTTACTTGCGTTTTTGACATTATTATTCCGGCTGCGTGTGTAGCTGATGGAACGCAACGTTTTGGCGTAATTTTCGTGGTGTTGCAAGGGGTATTTCAATAAATAAAAACAGAAAAAAATTGATTTAAAATAAGCCCTTGTTTTAAAATAAGAGTTTTTTTTAGAATTGATAAAAACAAAACCCTACAAATGTGAGGTACATGAGGGTAACTACAAAAATTTCCTATTTGTTTCCTATTTCCTATTGTTAGGCCAAAACATTATTTAGTTATCAGGCAAAGTCAACCTAGGCTAATAGATTCTGCATTCGATTTTTAGTTTTCTATGATGCCTACATTGTTAGCATATATTCCCGACCAAAAAGATAGAAAGACAGTTAACATTCTAGACTTGCCAGCCACATTATTCATTCAGCGAGCCATAACACTAGTCAATTCAGTGACATTAGTGATGTAAACAATATGTCAAATAAAATTTTCTGTTTTTTTTTACGATGAAACAAAACAAAATGCGATGCGACGCGGGCCACATATAATGAAGCTACGGTTCCATACGGCCCGCGGGCCTGGGTTTGGACCAGCCTGGTATAGTGTATAATTCCGTGTCAGAACTACTATTCCGCTTGAGACATCGCAAATCATAAATTGGAGAAAGCTTATTAGATATGTCGTCATCGCAGGGTGGTTTTCTTTCACTTCATTTTGTCAGCGAGCGCAAAGCGATTGTTCAAATACCGCTTTCCCCACAATTAGACCAATCAATTTCAAATACCTGAATATTGAAGTAGTCATTAGGAGGTTTTTATTTTTATGTTTGTTTTCCCAGGACCTAGGTGCCGCAGTTGTATGCAAAAGTTTGCTGTTTTATTTCCGGGTAACATTGTTTTGAATTTATTTCGTGTCCACTTATTTGAGCCTTGCTCTTTTTACGGTTTTTGATTCTTTAAATACCTACTAAACTAATGCAGTTGATCAGAGAAGGGCATGCTGCCTCACCACTTTACTTATTACATCAGTCTGTATTACTATTACCTAATATGTTGAACCACTTCTGAATTCCGAAGCGATCTCTAGTTATTCTATAATTAGTATATGAGGTTATCAGCAGACAACACTGCTGACAAAATCCTATTCGCTTGGGGTACCCACGTCATAATCAAAATGAGAATTCCTGGTGAGAAAGGACATGTTTATAGATAGCACGTCTTACGAGTCTGTAAAAACAATCTTTGAGTATTAATTATATACAGCACCAAATATGAGTGATGCGGAGTGGATTTAGATTTATGACACAGGAACCTGGTATGAGGTATCTACTGTGTAGCATCTCTTCAGCATATAATACATGCAAGATGCAACTATACACAATTAAAATAGGATATTCAGGAGAATACCGTATTTGCTCGTTTAATAGCCCGGGCGCTTATTTTTTTTAAACATACTCACTAACCGGGCCCTTATTCAAACCGGCCCTTATTCAAGCAGGGGCGCTTGTTATTTTTAAAGTAAAATTACACACAAAAATACCGGTAGATAAGATCGATCGTTACAATAATTAATACCGTATATTGTCATTTCCAGTTCTCAAGTATGATTTAAACGAGAATAATGAAAATTTTGACTTTTTCTACGCACCGCAGGTACAAATCCGCAAAAAAAAAAAAAACTTTTTACACCGGGCGGGTATTCAAGCACCGGCCCTTATTTATTTTTATGTCCTGTTCACACGGGCGGCTATTCAAACGGGCCCGGGCGTTATTCTATTCCCGTCTATTCAAACGGGCCTATTCAAGACCGGGCGTTAAAACAAGCATTTACGGTAGTCTATAATCTGAACCTAAAGATGAATTCAATTTTAAAATGATCGTAAAAAGCAATAAGTAAGTATTTGAACCCATCGAATCGCATAATTAGTCTGAATCTGCTTCGTGATAAATTTGTGATCGATTAAGTCAAGATAATTTCCAATCGTTTATTGCACTAGTGATCATAAAGAAAACATTTTGAACAAAGAAAAAAATATAAAATGCTCCTTATTTGAACCATTTCTTACACATATATTGGAAAATTAGGTAATTTTTACTAATTTACTTTGTTGTGAATATTTTCCGATAATTATTTATGCGTTCCTAACGAAGAGATGTTTGTTTTCACAACCTAACAAGTATTGTAGCTGTCGTTGAAGCCGTTTTGAGTTCCCCCGCGACCCTTGTCACACAAACGTTAATTAGTTTGTAGGCCCTATATACGATTTTTTCGCTTTTATGTGTGGTGAAAAATAATTGAATGATTAAGAATCTCACAAATACCTCTTTTTATGGCCTTTTTCTATGATCATTTATTTGTACTACAATATTAATGATGGAGTGTTATCGTTCTATAGAGAAATGTTCCAGAACATTTCTAATGATATAAAACTGGGTTAAACATGTAACACTGAAATTAAGTATAATAAATAATGAAAAAAAATAATTTGCAAGAGGATGCTGAGCGCCCCGTGGAAAGAATCCGGATGTTTTGTCACTTAATCTTCTTTCATTCGAAACCAGAAGGAACTCTTACATCTAAACGTGATTTTTTCGTGGCAATTGTGACCACAAAAACAAATTCTATTTTTCATATTTTCAACTAATGTTTACCGCAAACATTTGTGGTTGATGCAGATTTCTTTAATTGCTTCTAAGATTATTCAGTTCTCCCTCCTCGCCATTAGGTAAAAAGTTAATTGCAATCGAAACATGACTTTTGACAACGTTGCCTGTTATAATAACACATAAGAATATATTTGAGAAATTCTCCGTATATATTTCGTATATGATAAACGATGACTCAGTTTCATTGCGTACTCGGACCTAATAACTCAATGGGGAATGTCTCCCCCGGCGACGTAGATAACGTCGCGTGACTGACGTCGACTCTAAAAGAAAACAATCCTCTCTCGACTGCGCGGCTTTTTTCTTAGCATCAATATAAAGACGCAGCATTGGGCTCTCGTTACATATAGCTCAATAACTTGCGAGCAAGAGGTCAGCGTGTTTTTCGACTATACCTGAGTACTTTCGTACTGATATTACTATTTTAGTCAGCCTTTTCTTAAGTTACTTTTTACAAAACGACATTCCGTGACGCCGTTTTATTTCAACGAAGCATAAAACGCAAAGGATTTATTCATAAATCTACGAATCTATACAACGTATTTTGACATTACTTCAACGGATTTATACAACTAATACAAAAATGTCAACTTTCTACTACTGTCTTTTGGTTTTCGTCATTTTGTCAGTTACTTCAATTCAGGTAATATTTTAAAATGTTTGCCTAACATTAGTCTAAAATTTTGCAGTTTGATGGCATAGACATGTATATTTTCGTTGCAAAATTTCTACAATATTGTAATTTATACAGTTGGTGAAACACTCCAAATAAATATTGGTAATACAATGCTACAGCAGTCATATGTGGCATGTAGGTTCAAGATGGGTTTAAAAATCTCATGGTGTAGGTATTCTCGTGGTACCTATTTTGTAACTGAGAATATTAAGTTATGTGAAATAATAAACATCGGTTTTAATCTGTGATTGGCAAAAAGATATTTAGATAAATGTGGTATCTTTTCTACATACGGACGAATAACAAGTTACTTATTATCTTTCATACATTCGTTCTTGAGCTGTTAATAACCTCTGTGTAGACATCGTGTTGGTTGTGCAAACAATATCTGTTTTGCGATATGCTTGGTAGATTTACTGTTCGTCTGATCGCGAAGCTACTTCTTTTGTCGCCGTGTGGCATTTTTCACATACCATAAATTCTTTCACAAGTATGAGCAACAACTCAACTGATAAACGTCAGATAATTACTAGAACAGGCAATACCATATTCGGCATAATGACCTCGTAGGAATTGTCATCTTGAAATAATTTTTTCGGTAAACACATTCTATGATTCACTTGATCGGCTGGTATGTCAGTATGTGTAAAATTTTCACGATTAGACTTTGACTTAAGTGCTTCCTATAAATAGCACGGAATTTTATAAGCTTGAAATTTATTGATAGTAATAAAAAAGTATTATTAAAACTATGTACATAAGCTATCTTAAAAATAGTTTAATGAAATCCAGTCCTATGAGTGCTTTATCGAAACATTTTACATCTCTTTCAGACATCCATGGCAAAAGATTGTTCTAAACCATGTCCGAAATGCCCAAGTGTTACAAAATGCGCTTTTGGAGTGAGCATAGTTCCGGACGAGTGTGGATGCTGCAAAACATGCGCCAAACAACTCTATGAATCTTGCGATGCTTCCAACCCATGCGATCACCACAAAAACTTATACTGCAGCTTTGGCGATGTTGACGACACTGCTGGAGTTTGTGTTGGTAGCCGTTTGTTTGTACGCTTGTCAAGTTTGATGAATTGTTGTTACATTGTAAAGAATGGTAGTTTCTAATATATTTTAACTTCAAAAAGTATCAGATGATTGTCTATTTCACTCAAATCAATGTAATTTAAATTAAGTCGTATGAAAACAGATATCCTTTTCATTGTTACCGCCTGTCGCATTGTTTCTTTTAATTCATCCCCTTGTTTTTTGAGACAATTTCTTTGTGACTCGGTAACCTCATGAAACTCAATGCCCTACAAATTGTTAAAATAGGAACTGGATGTTGTTTTGAGTTGCTCGTATATGATGGTTTCATTCGCCTAAGCGTTTCCAATATAGTCATATGATACTAAATCAGATAATTGAAGCTTCAAAATTTTTTTATTGAAGGAATGTTATATCACATTCCTTGCACCCACGGTTTATTTCCACGTGATTTCACACATTAACATATTTTTCCGCATGATGATTTGTATGTATATGAATCTCGGTATATTATATAGCGTGCTATATTATAATGTCTGTAAATATTTAAAAATTTAATTTGCAAATTATTCAATTTAGCAAAACCTGGACGCTCATGTTTTCTCAATGGTAAAGTGTATCTCAACGGCGAATCATTTTCACCAAGCTGCAAAGTTCACTGTACCTGTATTGATTCAGACTTCGGATGCATGCCACGATGTCCTGTTAGTGCAAAAATTCCTCCGGTAAGAATCGTTCATAGAGTATAACGATATTTATGTAATGTAATTCATGATTTATCTCAACTAGACCGAATCTGGCCACGAAATTATTAAATATTTTAACGATGCCTTTACTTTTATAGAATTGCGAACATCCTCGTCTTGTTCTTAAACCTGGTAAATGTTGCGAAGAATGGATTTGTATGAAGAGCAGCAGAAAATCTGTTATGCCAAAAATTAACCGACAAATAAAGTCGAACGAATCGCGACATGGAAAACACAGTCCACGACCCGCAGTATTTAACTTTGCTGGTAAATTTTTACTTTTTGTACTATTTTAAAATGATATGAAATGCCGTTGCAGAAAATATCCTCTCGGAAACACTGCATTGGGTTTCCAGATTAAATATCTTTTTTTTGTTCAAACAAAAACACGACGCTTAAGATTCTCGTTGTTACCGCAAAAATGTTTGAATAAAAATAGCTTGCTTTGACGTCAATGAACCCGTCGAAGTTAAATATTTTTGTAACACTTGAACGCCTAAGAATGTCTGTAATCCGCGCTGTGGTTCAATTCTGGTAGACCTTTCCTTATTGTTACAATCACGCGAGAGAAATGATTGAGATTCTCAAGTTATTTATGTTATCATTTTATATAAAAATTTTCCAAAATTAAAAACATACTTTTGCAGTTTTATTCTATCCGTTTTATTTGTGAGAAGCGGGAATTTTAGTTGTTGACAATAAAATCTGGTAATGCGCAGTTTACTTGAAATTGCTCTACATATTTTTACCAAATAAGGTGTGTCTACGGCGTGCATTTTGCCCGAGGTCGCGTCGATTTCTCTCGTTATATGGAACGGTTAAATTTCAAAACATAAAGTGCAACTGAGTTGATAGTTCTAATGACTAGTTTTCTATGGTCATACTGTTTCGAATAATAAAATAAAAGCATATAGC